GTAAAAGATTAACAAGTAACCTATGGAAATGAGAGTCAGAGAAAAAAGGTAAGTTAAATAAAAGTTGTAATTAGAAGGCCTATGAGGGAAAGCCAGGGAGAAAGGCTTCTGGACTTAGGTCCAGAACCCGGTCAGGGTGGTTTGTGAGTCCTGTGGTTCAAGAAAAGATGATCAGAGGGTGGTGTTCTTTGAAAGAGCAAGTGGTTGGTGCTGATGAGCGAGCCCAGCTTGGTGTGCCCCTGAAGTCCCATCATCTCAGAAAGTCCTTACTGCATGTCCACCCTCGTTCTGTTTCCTCTGCCACCACAGTGGTGCAATGTCCAGGTTTTCTCACTTAGAGAGCTGCACTTTTGCATGTGTTCATCCTGCGTCCTCTCTCCTTCCCGTTTCATTCCGCGTTACCCCTCCTGAAGCACAGTTGGGCCTTGCAGTGTTACCATAATCTCTCTCCCTCCCACCTCAGTGGCTCTGCTTTCCTGCTGATCACAGTCCAGTGGAGTGGTGTGGCAGCCAAGCTCCCTTGTGCCCTTCCCCAAAGCTAAGGCTCCACTCTGCCTTTTGCACACCTGTTTAGACTTGGAATTCACAGACTGGTATCCACTGACTTTCTTCCATGGTTTTCCTCCTATCACTCCAGGCATCATTCTGTCTGCTGCTTCCTCACTGATCACTATTCAAACCCAATTGTCCTTTCTTTAGTGCTTAATTGAAATGGTGCCACCACCTAAAAGGCCTCCCTTAATCTCCACTATACCTTTCTATGGCAGGTAGAACAATTGTCATATATCATAGGGGTCTATGCATCTGTCTTCTTCCCCTACCTGCAACTTAAGCAAAGGACAGTGTTGGTTGTTATGCTCATCTCTGGACTCTTCAAAAGGCACAGAGCAGATGCTAAGAAAATTTTCATAGACTGAAATAAATAGATTAATGACCCAGGTGGAGAAGATAGACTTGGAAAAGAAGTAGGAGACAGAGGAGGAGGAGGAGAGGATGAATGAACCCATGCAAAAACACCAAGAGGAGAAGAAAAGGAATCACAGAAGTGCACACCAGAGCTGTTATCTTTTTGGGTTACTAGTCCGCTGGGGGCTAGAGAGAGACAAGGGTTTGGGTAGCATCACAGATGTCACAGAAAACTAGTCAAGGTCAGAAGTACGTATGAATGCATTCCTGGAATCATGAAAGGAGATCTTGTGTGAGGGGTGTAAGTTGCTGAGGGGGTGTATAGGGTGGACAAGGTTGAGCCTTGGTGACACATGGCTAGGAGGATGGAGAAATTGGAGGAAGGAGGTTGTAATGTTAGAGAATCCTAAAGTAGAATTTGAGAGAGAGGGTCGACAGAGAGAAGATGAAGACTAAAAAATAAAAAAAACCCTGAAACATGTAAACAAAAAGCCTTCTCCAGTAATAGGGAGCAAGCTTTGAAGGAGCGGTTTCAGTAGAGTGGAAGACACAAGGCGCATGAGCTGCATGGAAAAGACAACCGGGGGAGATAAGCACATCATAGGGTTTTAAGGACATTGTATAGATACAAAGGGAAACTGAGTGTCAGTTTGAAGGGACACATGAGATTTTTCATCCTCATCCTTGTGTCCATCACTTCTTCATTCAGCAAGTACTTGGAGCACCTAGCGTGGGCCAGGACTGGCAAGCAGGACAGACACAGTCGCTGGACTTGCTGTGCCTTAGTGCCCCATGAAGACGATAGTCACAGACAATGGGGAGAAATGAGAATTTGTAGATGGGGAAGGTTGTCTTCTTAGGAAAAGAAATGAAATGTTGAAAGACAGAAGAGGTATTTTAATCAGAAGGTGGGAAGTGGAGAGGGTGATCCAGGCAAGAGGATGTCCCTGAGGTTAGAAAGAACTTGTGGTTGGAGGAAAATGAAGGTGGCCGGAAGGAGGGCAGTGGGTCCCGTCCAGGAGGAGCAGCGAGCAGGTCCACAGTAGGGAGGTGACTCCAAAGGAAGAAGAACGCACGTACTGGCCCCGCCCGAGGAGAGGGGTTGACATGGGAGCAGTTTCCCATCGAGGGTGGAAGGATTGGAGTCTGCGCTGCAGGCAGAAGGCTTGGTGTGAGAGGAGGGGGGCATCTGTTTCCCCAAGTCAGTCAGGAATGTTCAAGGGGGTGATGTGAGGGCAGAGCTGCATGAGGGGAAGATGGAGGAAAGCAAGGTAGTTCATGCTGAGCAACATTATTGGGTGCTTTTTGGGTTCTCCTTTCTGGTCTCAGAGGCCTCCACATGTCAGTACCTTGGAGAGCAACTTCTGAGGCTGCTTTATAGCTGGGACAAAGGCTTGGGCAGAATGCAGGCACAGAGGGAGAGGGCAAAGGGAGGCATTGGTAAAGGGACATGGAAATCAACTACACTGTATATTGATAACATAATAAATAAATAAATAAATAATAATAATAATAAAAATGCAGGCACAGAACCTGCAAACCCGAGTGTGTTTCCATGCTCAAGGTTAGCAGGAACCTGGAAGACGAGCTAGTCCAGCCAAAAGGGGATGCTATGGGAACTGTAAGCCCTTTCTGTCACCCCTTCCCGTGTGAGCTGATACAGCATTTGACTTTTCACCTGCATTTTTATTTCTCCCGGTCCTGGAGGGATGGAAGCCAACGTTTTTTCGAATTGGAATCACTGTTAGGAACTTGGAAGACTCACACAATAAATTGAGCACTAATGTTTCATGACAATTTCTTTAAAAAAATCTATCTGTGTACCCAGATGTCACCCCATTGAGAAACTGAATGAAAAAGAGGAAAATGTAAGAAGATAGAGAGCTCATACGCATAATTGTTTTGGTGTAGGAGTGGTGCCCAAAAGGCATTTTATAAAAGCGCTCTTTGTGGAAGTTGAGCTGCATTTAAAAAAAAAAAGTGATTCCCAAATCAGCCCACTGTTTAAATATTGGTCTGAGGTAATTTCCAAACCTGATGGCAACCTTAGCTGAGAAAATGGAAACATAACAATTGGTCAGCTGAGGGTTCTGGTGGGAAGGTTAGACAGCTCATTAATGATTTGGGTGTGTTGCACATTATCTCAGACTAAGCCCGTCTAGTAGATTCTGTGAACCTCTCAAATACATTAAGTGAATAGATTTCCTGTCTCACCCTTTGTAAAAGCAAGAAACTGAATTTTGGCTCAGAGAGCCCAAACTCATCCAAGATTATATAGGGAATAACAAGTAAATCCAAGACTTAAAAACTCTGTTGAACCCCAAAGCTCAAGATCTTCGATCTATACTAATGTTTTTTAACTGGGTTCCTTGGAGCACTAGGATGGTTTGGGCCATCCTTGGGTGCCTGAGTGAGATGGGGGGGGGTACCAGTTTTTTTGGGCTGTCCTAATAAAGTATCACAAACTAGGTGGCTTAAAATGATAGAAATTTATTCTCTTGCAGTTCTGCTGGCTGGAAGTCCAAGATCAAGGTGCTGACAGGTCCATGCTCCCTCTGAAGCCTTAGGAAGGATCTGTCCCTGCCTCTTGCAGCTTCTGATGGCCCCAGGCATTCCTTTGCCCATCTCTGCCTCTCTCTTAAGGTGGTTGCCTTCCTGTACATCTGTCTTCACAGGGCCTTCTCTTCCCGTGCGTCTCTCCTCTTCTTATAAGAATACCAGTCACATTGGACTAAGAGCTCACCCTACCCTAATATGACCTCATCATTAATTAATTAATGACATCTGCAAAGGCCCTATTTCCAAATACAGTCACATTCATGGGTATCAGGGGTTGGGCTCCAACTTATCTTTTGGGGGGAACACAATTCAACCCACAATAGTGGGTGAGAAGAGGCCCCATGAGTGGGGTTCTCATCATACCCCAATAGCAGCTGCCCTGCCTTTGTCTGGTTAATATTTGGGAATCCTTTGAAGGCCTTTGTCTGAGAAAGAATGCTACTGCTGAAGAACATATTGAAAACCACCGACCTGTAGTATGCCACTCTTGCCAAGAAACAAACAAGCAAACCCACGATTCAGCTGTCTTAGAAACCGCTTCTGTGTAAGGCTTTATAACGCTGGCTTTTCTTCTACATGCCCTTATCTTTTTCAGCTTGGGCAGGGCACAGACAACCTGCCCCTGCTGTTGGATGTTGGCCTAGAACCACCGTCAAGAACAGCGTGAGTAGCACTGACCAGGCCATTCTCTCCATCCTCGTTGCGGTTGAGGCCCCTTGAATTGCTATATGGGCAATGCATGCATGTGTGGTCTCTTCTCTGTTGGGGACTCTCTGTCAGGTATTCTTCCCCTTACACTTTCTGGTGCCCATAGAACCAACAGCACCTTTTAATTAAAGGCAGTGAGTGGCATGATGGCAGGATTAGGACCAGTTTCTGACTTCCCTAAAGGACCAGGGAACACCGTGGCCTCAGTTTTCCCATCTGTCTGACTGGATTGTGCACATGTTTATGTATCTAGGGGCAAATCTAAAAGGGGGTGGCACTTGTCCTCTCCAGCCTGCTCTCTGCTCTACCTGCTTTGAGAAAATTGTAGAGATGAATCTCATGGGAAGTGTTTGACTGTTTCACTTAATTTAAAATATAGGGCAGTATGGCTTTAAGTGCATTGCTATTCTGCACTTTGCTTCACTATGGAATAAACAACAATGATGTTCTGCTGAACATCAGTTACAGACGTTTTAGGAAGGGCTCAGCAGTTTTGTGAGAATGAAGCTCTATTACTCAAGTGTAATGAGCCAAAAAAAAAAAAATCTCGTTTTTATGCAGTACTAGTACAGACCCATGGCCTGGACATGTAAGTGCCTTTTCTGCTCCATTGTAGGCACAGGGTATTCACTCATCCTTATCAGCATAGCGTAAAAGGAACATTCTGGCTCAGGGAATTTAGCTGAAATGAGTATGAGGGACAGAGCTTTTGCCAACAGATTATGCACTGAATATCCAACACAGGATTTGTAGAGTGCCAGCTACCTAGTGCCCCTTCCCCCATACACAAAAGAAGAGGGTTTAAAAATGATCAATTCAGTGTTAAGTCCTTTTACAAATCGAATATTTATTTTATTTTCTTATGTACAAAAAGTAAACTCCAAATAACATAACACCAAATAAAATCCTTTCGATTACACTTTGATTGCCCACCATCTCATAGTCACAGTTAATCATACAGACAACAGACTGTCACTACAATGTTACATTTGTGATACTGAAGGACTGTGATATTTGGCTATTTGAGGAACGTTCGGAGATCATAAAGCAACCTGGGGGTCAAAAGATTCTGAGATAATCACTTCGTTAAATAACTAATCTAACAGCAAACTTCCAATCATTAGTGACATAGTTAAAGGCCTAAACCCACTTCTACTTGGTTGGCCCAACACAAAAGATCCAGTGGTTCTTTGTAATGGTTTTGCATTTCTAATTTTCTCAGACGATATGGACCACTGAAGTGTGAAAAAAATACAGTTAAATCTTGGGGTGCCTAAACTGTGAGTTCAGAGCAAGATTTTGCAGGGTACCATTATTTCCATAGGAGATTCTGGTGGCAGGGGAGTGAGTCAATTTGATTCTAACATAGCTATGGTTTGTTGGGATCAACCCATAATGTTTCTGCTGATGGGGTAAAATGGATCCATCTTGGGTAAGAAATGAAGTCAATGATAACAGCACACATACAAAGACTTTTTTTTTTGTAAGTTGAGTCATATTTTACTCTTTTTGCTAAACTCAGTTATTAAGAGGTGTTTTAAGAAATTTAACGTCTTTGGGCAACCATGTCCCTCAAGTAATCTATCTACAGATTTGTTTTAAATCAATTAGCATCCTGGGTCAATTTCTTTGCTCGGTCTTGGAAGCAGGCAACAATTTCATTAGAATAACTGAGAACGGAAAACAATGTGTTCTGATCTCAAATGTATTTTTAAAAATAATAAGAGAAAAAGAATACACTTTTTAAAATTCGGAGTCTGTAGTTTGTTATACTATGATCATTTTAGCATTGGCTCAGTGCTGACCTTTTCAGGTCAGTCATCAATAATAAATTCTCCCAAGTAAAGTATTTCTAGTGGAAATGGGGCAAAAAAGCTACAGTTCCTGTACCATAAATACCAGCCACTTTGGGCTAGCGGTCTTCTGCGGGTTGGTAATAATGCATAAGAACACATGTAAATATACACCTTAGTTTACATAGACAGAATATATGAAATTTTTGAAGGAGCTACACTGGCTCTTGGTATAGTTTCTAATAAAATCAATACTGCCATTATACAAATTTTCTCGGACACGTGATACTAGCCCATCAAACACAGAGATTCGACAGACCAGTTTTTATGCCTACCTATGGCAGGACAAAAATGGATTTTAAGAAACCTTGTGAAAAGTTAGAATGAAGTTATAAATCAATTGCAGATTGCTCACTGGACAATCATGGAACATATCGGAAAACAGTTTTCACCTCTAGACTTTCGCCTGCACTGATTTCCACCTAAATATCCAGAAGGTCGTCTCCGCTTTCGTCACTCTCCACGGTCAGCTGCCGGGTCCACCACTTCTTCACTTCGGAACCGCAGGAGGCCGCGTCTGTCATGGGGTTCATTTTGCACACTACAGATTTCATTGCTGCTCTCCCTCCAAACCGTAAGTTGACCGAAGACACTGAATGGCTTATTGGTTTTGGAGCTATGAAATTAACAAGAGTTGTATGAGCGACATGGTGCTTCCCCCTATTGTAATCATTCCTGCAAAACCATGATATTCCCATAAGTCATGCTTTGGGCTAACAAGTCCTATCCATGGATGTTGAGTAAGAAGCCTTTTCAGCACCTTATTCTTCATATTTATAATAGATCTTAAAATTGTGCTCAACTAATAATACCATTATGGACAACTAATAATAATAATAGTGTCACCAAAATTATAGACAACTGATAATACCACTTGAAAAAAAAATGCTGCTCTCCTCTTTCACATTGAGATAATTACAAAAACTAGAAAGTCACTAAAAGTTCCAATCTCGGTAAATATAAGTGTCATAGACATATGTGTGAGTGGGTGTTCACTGGCATATGCATAGAGAGAAAAAGGAAAGGACGAGGAGGAACAGTGCAACTGAGCAGTGTGAGGGAGGAGAGGGTGTAGGAGGGTGTGGAAGAAAAAGATGTGGCCTCACAATCCCACAGTCGTAGTCTGGGGTCCCACCTCTGTGACCTGTAGTTATGTAGTCAAGGGCAATTTCCCATCTCTGAACCCCAGTTTACTCCACTGTAAAAATGAAGAGAATAAAAATTTCCTCATTGGATTATTGTGAGAATTAAAATACATTAAATGAGATTACCCAAGAAAGGGCATACCATGACACCTGGCACATTGTTGGTGCCCCCGTGAAATGCTCTCTTTCTTTCTCTTTGCCTCCTCAAACTCAGCATGTCCCCCCCAAAAAGCATATACCTTTGGTCGTCACCATTTTCGACATCGGGGTTACCTAGGCATGAACCATGGGAAGTAGTTTGGACAACACACTTTCTTTTAACCATTTCAGTGAATACCAAGGATGGTGCATTCTCCCCCAGATTGTTTCTCATCATGTCCCTGCAGTGTCTGGGCCACCAGCGTTGTCCATGTCCTCACCTCCTGCTCAGACTACCTGCTGTATATTGAATGTGTCCCCCAAAAGTTCATGTATTAGAAACTTAATCCCCACTGTGACAGTGTTAAGAGGGTGGGAAATCCTATTATGGTAATTGAAAGGGGCCTTTAAGTGGTGATTAGATGGTGAGGACTGTGACCTTGTGAATGGATTGATCCATTTGTGGAGTGATGGTGGGGTTCTGATGGCTTTATAAGGAGAGCAAGTGAGGAGGTTAGTGCTCTTGCTCAGCCATCCACCATGTGACACTCTGTGTGTCTGTGAAGAGTCACCACCAGGAAGGCCCTCAGCAGATGTGTTCCCTGGACTTTGGCCTTCCCAGCCTTTAAACTTTAAGAAATAAATTTTATTTCCTTATAATTTAACCAGTTTCAGGTATCCTGTTATAAGCAACGGAGGTGGACAAACACACTACCAGAGCCCCCTCCGGCTTGTAACCTGCCTCCAGGCTCTGTCACAGACAATTCCCTCTCTACTGCTGCCAAGTCAATCTTCCTAAAGCGGGGATTCCAATGTCATGACTTGCTCAGCAGTCTTTACTGGCTCCTAAGTGCCTACAGGATGAAGGCGAAACTACTCAGCCTGTGACTTTAGGCTTTTTATGTCCCGGCCCCAACCACGTGCTCAGCTTTGTGTACCATCATTGCTGGCTTTGCTGGAACCCAGAGGAAGCTAGGTCCTCTCTGACCCCTGAAGAAGATACTCTTGGATATGAAAAATAACATTTTCCTCAGTAGTGCTATTAATTAAGATCCACTGAACATCTTTAGCCTCCAAATGTAAGTTGTGCTATGATCCACTTTGTGGAACAGATACGCTCCAGAAGAGTTTGCAACATGATCTGTCTTCTCATGTGGATTGGGCTGAAGTTGAGCCTCAGTTAAAGAGCATTACTCTTTAAAGCCCATACTTTACCACTGACTCAGTTATCTATAGAGAAAACCGTGTACGAGGACACCGAGCCATGCAGGCCATTGCTCTCCCTCCATCCCCGACAGCCCTGAGTGGAATTATCCTGACTTTCCAAAACCCCATATTCATCTAGAAGAAAATTCTCTTACTCAATCCATAGAATGTGGAAAAGAATAGAATTGTGAGGATTAAATGAGGGAACACAGTTAATGCACTTAGAATAGTGGTTGGCATACAGTAAGTACTACATAAGTGTTATTTGTTATCGTTATTATTGAAGTGAAGCACATCACATGAAGATAGTGACCAGCTCAGCTGCAAAGTGTATGTGGAAGTCGAGCAGGGCCTGTGCCTTCTTTGGGAACTCTGTGGCGTTTTCTGAAAGACGGTATCTGCCCCTCCCTCCTTACTTTATCTGAAATGAATCTGCCTGAGTTTGAGCCTGGCTTGGGTGCACACAGGGAGCCCTTGGATGTCTCTTGCTCTTCTCTTTCTGGATCTTGGTTATAATCTCACGTTGTCAGCAGCTGCTGCGTTCTCAAACATGGTTCTGAACATGAGGGCTGTTATAGTTACGTCTACGGAGTTATTTTGGGAGGAATGCTTATGATAAGAGGATACCTTTTTCATTGTTTTCCTGTTTTTGAATAACTGTAGGTACAGATCTGTATTTTGAGACCTACAGCACACACAGAAAGGAGACATCTTTAAAATGCCTCCGTCAGGAGGAATGGCTGGACGTACGTACCCGAGGGCAAGCGCCATTGCCCAAACTTCCTCTGGGGTTTCCCAGCATCGGCTGCATCTTGCCGACTTCCTCCTCTGTCCGACAGGGTGGGGCTCAGGAGCTGCTGCTGGCTGCTCGTCTGCAAGGGAGAAGTCAGAGTCACGGCCCTTTCTTAACACTGATCTCCTGCATCTCTCTGCACTGCTCTGGATCCTACTTTTGTGATAAGAGAGGAAGGAATATGGCAGGAAAATGAGTGGGAAGAACAGCCTCTGCCACCTCATTCCCTCCACACCTAAGGGTGTCATTGTTTACCTCTTGTACCTGGGTTGGCAAACCAGGGCACGGATGGTGGCACTGCAGGAAGGAAGGTGGGCAGTGGGGACTGGGTAGTTTGGGTGGTGGTGCACTTTTGCCAACCTGGAGGTCAGTGCCTAGAGTTTCAGGAAAAGAGCTCTGAGCCAGCAAAGCCCTGTGATGGCCCTAGGGGAGGACGAAGCTGATAACAATCTAAGCCTAAAGTTAAAGAGAGATGCTGAGACCTTCCACGCACTTTACCCATTCTCTGCTTCACCTGTCACCTTTCACTTTCCTAATCAATGCCTTGCTCTTCACATATCTTTAATATCCCCTTTTTTTTTATTGGTTACTGATATAGTTTGAATGTTTGTTTCCTCCAAAGCTCATGTTGAAGCTTAATCCCCAATACAGTATTTGAAAGGCAGGGCCTTTAAGAGGCAATTGGATCATAAGAGCATAACCTTCATGAATGGATCAATCCATTCCTGGATTAATGGAGCAATGGGTTAATGGATTAGTGGGTTTCACTGGAGTAGACTGGTGGCTTTATAAGAAGAGGAAGAAAGCACATTAGCATGCTCAGCTGTCATACCATACGATGCCCTGCACTGCCTCGGGACTCTGCAGAGAGCCCCCCCCCCCAGCAGTGAGGCCCTCACCAGGTGCACCCTCTCTACTTTGGACTTCCCAGCCTCTAAAACTGGAAGAAATGAACTTCTTTTCTTTATAAATTACCCAGTTTTAGGTATTCTGTTCTAAGCAACAGAAAACGGACTAAAACAGTTCAACTCTTGCGCTTTTTAATCTAGAAATGGAGAGCTCTGCAATTATCACTTTCCCCTGCCTCATTGACCCTGTGTCACTGTCTGTCCTGACCTTATGTGGCTTCCACACAGGAGCATCCTCTTGTAGCATCCTACTGGGCTGTGGAGCGTTAGGCTTCAGAATTCACCCTGGTCCCTGACTGTGCTGCTACACACCACGAGGCTCGGTGCTGCCACGGGCTCTGCGCAGAACGCTGGATTGGCTCCATGTTGTTAACCTCAAATCATAATTGCAGCCTCAGGAAGGGGTAGGACCTCCCTGCCAGCTGCTTCTCACAGCACAGTGCTCTCCAGGATGCTGGTGATACTCTGAACTTTTTCTACAGACATGTAGATTGAGTTTAGAAATGAAAATATGCTGTGCCCTAGTAAGTAGAAGCTCCTCAAGCCAATCCTCCTGAGTTCCATATGCTTTTCTGATGCCCAACTAAAGAAAGATAAACCCTCAATGAGTCTGATTATTTAAAGAGATTGAAAGCCACGTGTGAATACTTTCACTGATTTTATTGCAAATGGCTATGTCTTAGTGAGGGGAAGAAAACATTTAGGGTAGAGCTTCCTGCAAACCATGCTCTCCTAAGTCATAAAATATTTCTAGACTCAAATTCAGCCCTTAGATGTGATGTTAACTCTTTAGGCAAAATATAAAAACGAAAACCAAACAAAACAAAAAAACAGAATTATTAAATTCAGGGCATTAACATTTTCTTTTCTTTTTTTAACTTTTTTTTTTTAAGTGTCCATACGAGCATACAAATCTGAATCATTAGAAATAACTTCAACTGCATCCTGGATGGCAAAGACAGAAAAGTAATCTGGGTCAACATGTTCCCATGGTTTTTTTTTTTTTTTTCAATTAAATTTTTTTTATTAGAAATATTGTCACCTTGTTTGAAACTTTTGTGTGTATTAGTCCATTTCTATTGCTTATAACAAAATACCTGGAACTGGGTAATTTATAAAGAATATTTATTGCTTACAGTTTTGGAGGCTGATAACTCCAAAGGCCAGGGTGAGGGCCTTGTTGGTGGGTAGTGACTCTTCGCTGCAAAGCAGGGTGTCACATGGGGGACGGCAGAAGCAGAGAGGGAAAGAGCTCCTCATGCGCTGTCCTTTATAAGCCCTCAGAACCACACCCATGACCACCTTTAAACCATCAATTTATTAATCCATTTACTAGGGCAGGGTCCTCACATTCTAATCATGTCTTCAATGCCCCACCGTTCAACTACCACACTAGGATTTCTCACCGTCTTCACACTGTCACAGTGGGGGCCATACCTCGATGAGTTTTTTGGGGGGGGACATACAATCCACAGCACTAGGTGACCAGCACCAAACTTATTTATTTTCATTAAAAACAGAACCCCACAGAAAATCCTTGGGTGAAGGACAGCACACGCCCGCACCTCAGGTTGCATGTTATTATCCTGACTGCTGACATTGGCGTCCTCACTTGGCTGGGTGGTCTCAATGCTGGGAGGATTCAGAAACCGGCTCAGCTCTTGCTGTTGACTCTCTCGCAGACTGTGGATGATGCTGCAAGACTGCTGCTGTTTCTGGGGAAATACGATTGTTCCTTCAGTAAGGGAAAGAGAAACCCAACGTCCCCCTGCCCCAGCACCACTCAAATCATACTGTCTTCTCTCCTCTCCACAGACTTGCATGATTGGTGACCTCTTAGGAATTTCCAAATAAGGATCCATAGCTAATTTCCATGTTACGTTAGTCTGATGAAAAGGAGGGCTTAGAGAGACTTATGAATTGCCTTCCCCTTCCATATTCATTTGTAGAGCAATTGGAATAGTTATGCCCTTTGATACTAGCTTGTGTTTTATTAAAAATGGATGAACCTGGAAGACATATTAAGTGAAATAAGTCATGCACAGAAAGGTAAATATAGCATGTTCTCACTCACAGGTGGGAGCTAAAAAATGTTAAACTATGGAAGTAGAGAATAGAACTATGGTTACTCAAGGGTAGGGAAAGGTTGGTTAATGAATACAAAATTACAGCTAGATAGGAAAAGCAAGTTCTAATGGTCTACAGTGGTACTGGGTGCCTATAGTTAACACGAATTGATTGTATGTTTTAAAATGGCTAGAAGAGAGGAGCTTAAATGCTCTCATCACAAATAGATGATAAATTTGGGGGGTGATGATATGCTAATTATCCTGATTTGATCATCATACATTGCATATATGTATTGACGGACAACTGTACCCCATAAATATGTGCGATTATAATTTAAAAATACTTTAAAAATTGTAAAATAAAAACTGCTAACGCGGGTGTACTACTTTAATTTTATTTTATGCTCATTAAGCCAATGCAGGCTCCCCCTTTCGTGCATGTTGTAAGAGGCAGAGAGTCTTGGGTGGATGAGGAAAGCTTTGCTGTCATCTTGGTTCTGGATTTTGCAGCCAATCAAGTGGGCCAATCCAACAGGCCAATCTGTCTTGGCACATACTGAAGCCAGGACTCCTTGCACCCTCTTGGGGCCTGTGGAGGACAGATTTGATCCCTGGAGCTAGCAGGGTTCCAGGAGGCCAGCTGTGACCAGGCCACAGTGGGCAGTTGGCCCTGCTATAGGAGGTTGGGCTGTTTCTTTCCTTTGTAGACCTCTCCTCTGTCAAGAGAAATATGTTTCTATGGTTGATGTCGCTGTTTTGAGGAACAGGATAAAAAAATTTCTGTTATATATAAATGTTTAGTAATTACTTTCATTTTTTTCCCCGTTGTGTGTAAAACATAAGTCAAAAACATTCGTAAAAATCATCACCTAATGGAAATACTGTAAACACAGTACAAGCCAACACAGTACGCATTCATCACTTCATGAGTCAGAGAATCTCATAAGCTTATCAGCAGCAAAAAGATCATTAAACCCCCAGGATTGGTGGTCCTTAAAGACCGAGCAACATTATCAACAGTAAGTTGGAATTGTTAGCAGCAATTTAAAAGTACTTTTGTAAATTCAATCACTAGTAAGTATGTAGAGATTTTTGGAATTCTGGACAGTTAGGTTTAATAAATGGAGATCATAAATATTTTTATATCAATAAGCTGCTTTTTATACCATGTTATATTATAAAAATGTGTTTCAGTTGATACTTCTATGGACTCTGCTAAAGAGAAGAAGGGTGATTTGGAGCAGAGTTAAGGTTTGCAGCATCACCTGACTCCCATAAGTGGATGAAATCAACATAGTTTAAAGGGATTTAAGGCTAAGCAAGAAGGATCTATTTCCCAGTTGTTCATGAAGCTCTTTTTTTTTGTCCCATCTTCCCTTTGGGAGAGAGGGGACAACTCCCTGCCCATGAGCCTGGGGCCCACTCACAGCTCTGATGCGCTTCAGACACTTCTTGAGCCACATGCGGATGGTCTGCTTGGCCACCTCCTCCTCGATGGTGTACTCCAGCTGCTCCCTCGCCAGGAGCTCCTCCAACTGCAAACTTTTCCGGATGTCAACGGACCGGTATGAAAGCATGCTGGTGGGGGGAACACAATAACAATTGCAGGTCTGATTCATCTGGGATTTAGACTCTTAGATGTTTCAATCCCCTTAGAGAGGATGTCACTCGTTCCAACAGGTGCAGCATTTTGACATTACCCTTTACTAGCTGGGTGACTTGGGCTGATGATGTCACCTCTCTGTGTCTCCCTTCACTCTTCTGTAAAACAGGGATTGTCATGGTACTTACCTTGTTAAATGGCTGAGTTAATATCTGTGTGGTACTTATAACAGCAAATGCCCTCTAAGTGCTTGTAAAAATAGAAGATCCAGGCTAGGCCGTGATATCCAGTGTCAGCTGCCTAAGTACAGACTCTGGACTTTCCCTGCAGAAGGAAGCTGAACTCTCCATGCTGTTTTGCATTCAGCTCCAGTTGGTGATGGCTAATGTGCTGGGTTGTGGGTCATCCTGCTCCCCCACCCCCCCGACCCCATATTCCTCTGTTTATCCCATGGGTCCCTCTGTAGCTTCCTTATTAATTTTACAGGATACAAATGCAGGGTAAAATATTTACTTACATTTAGCCCTGAGCATGATGGGCCCAAACAGTGCTAAATGAAGCTAAAACAGGCCCATGGGTAATAAGTCAGCTCATAGTATGTCAGGGCCGAGGAGTTCACAACCAAAGGAGAATATGGCCCCTTCTGGCAGCTTTGTGCACCCTGGTGTGGCCACAGGATCCCAGGCTATTGTTCAGCCCTCTGCCTGCCCTCTGCTGTGAGCTCAGTTCCACCACTGGAGCCCAAATCTCAGCATGAAGGATCTTGAGAGTGCTGGTACATTGGCCTTCTCTTCTTTGCTATGTCTCTTCCCACTCTAGAGGAAATAAATGCATTTTCTCTTTCTTTCCTCCCTCACTCATCAACAATCTCATCATTGCTTAATAACTGCTATGGACTGAATTGTGTTTCCTCAAAGTTTAATGTATTAGAAACTTAACCCCCACTGTGACAGTGTTTAGAGGGTGGGAAATTCTATTATGGTAATTGAAAGGTGGCATCTTGAATAGGTGATTAGATGGTGAGGATCATGCCCTAGTGACTGGACTAATCCATTGATGGCTTAATGGTGGTCATGGGTATGGTTCTGGTGGCTTTAAAAGGAGAGTATGTGAGGAGCTCTCCCTCTCTTGCTAACCATCAGCCATCTGCCCAGCATCGTGTAGAGTCACGAGGCCCTCACCAGAAGTGTTTCCTGGACTTAGGACTTCCCAGACTCTAAGAAATAAATATTGTTTCTTTATGATTACCTAGTTTCAGGTTTTTTTGTTATAAGCCACAGAAACAGACTAATGCAATTGCTTTTATCCTATCCTGGGCTAGAGGAGTAGGGTGTGCTGAACACCACCACCACTGACTTTGCCCAGGTCCTTTTTTATTAGATGCACCACTATGCTCCAAAGAGGTTGAATGTTAATTATTAATGACAACAATATATCTAAATGCCTCACATTCAACTAAAAAAAATATGTTACTAGGAGGAAAGGCTAAGCAACATTCTGAGAGAGATGACATCCTTCGCTATTCACATGTATATTTGGTCCCATCTTTTTCTGCTTTTTAGCTTGTTCCTGGAAGGAGTGAATAGGGGCAGGTAAAACTGGTAACCTGAGAGAACTTTTCCCAGATCATTCCTGTTCTGATCTGATCTTTTTTCAACTTCTAACCACAGCATATTTCTGTATACTTGAATGCTACTGAAATTTGTCACACAGTCCCAAACCCTTACCTTGTCAGGTTCTTGCAACATGATTAGAAGAGCTACTGCTAGTCAGGGGTTCTTAACTTTTCTTGTGGCACAGACCCCTTCGGCAGTGGAGCCTATGAGACATTTCTTAGAATAATGTTTTAAATGTATAAAATGAAATACACGTATTACAAAGGAAACTAATTATAATGAAGTACTGTTCCAAATTATTTTATTTAAAAAGGTGGCGATAGAGTAACATAAGTGCTTCTTTATCATTCCATTAAATATTAACATCTGGCTGAGGTCAAATGACTACTATAACCTAGAAGTACTGGCGAGCATAAATGATGCTTTACGATATTAGCTATGGCAGTAATGTGATCTGAAAATAACTGTGATTTCTACTGATGACAAAGACACAGACGCTGTTAGTGTGAGTGTGGTTTGCTGTCTACATTCATCGTTGAAGAAAATGCTGCCTTTCAGGGAGCAATTAGTGAAAATAAAGATGTAACTGTTTCCTCTTGCAAGTCCCTGGACTTCTGAATTTTATCCCTCGGCTCCTGTTTAACAAGCTGGCATGGGCTGAATTGTTCCCCTCTCTGCATAAAAGATGTTGGAGCCCTAACCCTACTATCTTAGAATGTGACCTTACTTGGAAAGAGGTCATTGCAGACATGATTAGTTAAGGTACGGTCAGACAAGAGTAGGGTGGGGTCCTAATTTAGTATGACTGGTGTCCTTATAAAAAGAGAAAATTGGGCACAGACACACACAGAGGGAGAACGTCACACGAAGATAAGACAGAGATTAGGGTGATGCTTCTACAAGCCAAGAAACACCAAATGTTGGCAGGAAACCTCTGGAAGCTAGGGGAGAGGCGGGGGACAGGTCCTCCCTCACGGCCTCAGAAGGAAGCAGCACTGCTGACACCTTCATCTTGGACTTCTAGTCTTCAGAACTGTGAGACAATTAATCTCTGCTGTTTAGGCCACTCAGCTTATTGTACTTTGTTACAGCGTCCCTACCAAACTAATACAGGAGTCTCTCAGAGAGAAGAAAATGCGGAGAGAGCCTCAGCTTGACCCTTTGTCCTTTCTGTTTAGGTTCTCATTAAATGTCTGGAAAATGTGGTGTTTTGATCAACTGAGAGCAACCACCACAGAGCAGCCCAAGCAAATTCTCACCAGACCCATCTGGGTGTCAGCCCCAGCTCTGCCACAGTGCTGGGTAACCGTGGGCAAGTCACTTGACTCTTCCAGAGCGTTCCCTTCATCACAAAAGGAAGGGGTGGGACAGTGCTCTCTGAGGCCCCTTTTACCTCTCCCCTAGGGGAGGGAGCTTGTTGGTCAGGAGGGGGCCTTGTGGGATGATAGGCCGTGGCTTCCTGCCCCTCCCAGGTCAGGCACCGACGTGGAAACCATCATTACAGGACCGTGAGAAAGGCCACTTTGTGCCTGGGAAGTGGGACCCTGCTTTATAACCACTGGGGATGTGGCATTTCAGGTTATGAACATCTTGTTAATTGCATTTCACAAGGCCTTTAACGATCCCAGCTTCATGTCAGGACTCAGTTCAGCGCTGTGACACTGAGCTGTAAAAATCCGCCTCATACCTCAGGACATCGTGGAAAGTGACATCGCCTCCATTATGCAGCCTCTCCATTTCGTAGCACATGTGCTTAAACAAAAGTTTGTCTTTGTCAAGGTCCACCTCCAGCCTCCCACGCAGCAGCCTCAGCAGGAACTTGACCCTGAAGGTGGGAATCACCCCCTGGGAGGCAGAGCACAGAAACCAAAAATCGTCATTAGGCCATAGGGATTCACTCGACGTTCTCTTTTACAGCAACAAAAGAAAACAAAACAAAACCCCCCAAAACAAAGGAGAGCTATTTCTCAGAAGGTAGCGTCATTAGCACCAGGCGTGAGGAAAGCTGTTCGCCTCCTTGGAGGCTGGGAGGAATCACGTGGATGAGAAACGCACGAGGTGAAGAGCGGAGCAGTGAGCTCCACTGGTGCTTCTCTGTGCTGTCATGACAGTGCAGCATTTGGGCCGAGGAGGGTGGCCTCTGCTTCCCAGAGCCAACGCCTGCTTTAGCAGACTCGCTCCAGTGGCCTGTCCTATCGGCCCCACCCCCGCTCGCCACTTGCTGAGTGTGTCAGTCACGTGTTCGCACAATACGCACACGCACAATCCTCCGCTCCACTTAATCCGGATGCCAGGAACCATTCAGCATTTATTATAAGTTGTTCTTCCATTGAAAGATAACTCCTTTTCAGGCCTTCTCTGTGACTAGAACAGCTACATATAAGAGAACTGGGCTCCCAGCTCTGCTCTCAGAACAGATCCAGACCCTGAGAATCTAAGATGTAACCAGGCAACACCACCCACCACGCCCGCCCTTCCTATGTCTCTGGGTGAAAGTGCTGGGCAAGAGCACTGGTAACCCATGACTACTGCCAGTTTCTAGCAGGTCAGTGTGAACACTGGTGAGGACTTCCATGTGCATGTTAGATAGAAGCAGGTCCTGTAGGGGACAGTTATGGAGATACAGGTGGATCCAGATGAGATGAAAAGAGCCAAGTCACACGCCCTGCACACAGGCCACTATCTCAGAAGAAAAGCCCAAGAGACTGGAGCCTGGGGGTGCGGGGGTACCAAGGAGAGAGAGGGCAAAGCAGGGTGGAGAGGGCCACACACTGCCCAGGCAGGCCCTGGCCCAGCCAGGATCCCCACTTATGACACCCGCTTTGGTCCCTTGGTCTTTCCACATCAGTCAACTCTTCCTGAAACTACTTTTGGATCTTCCCCCAGATGTCCCCATGGCTGAACATTCTTCATTTTGGGGATGTCCGGTCAGCTGTCACCTCCTCAGACAGGCCTTCCTGAGCACCCCCACTGGAGCAGTCTGCCCCGACCCCAATGCCTGTCTACCCGGTTACTGTCTTCAGAGTGTTTATGACTTTCTGAAATAAGGTGCTCTTACTGCTATTTCACTTTTCATTCTTTGTCCGCCCAATAAAACATGAACGCTGTGAGTACAGGCACCTTCCCATCTTGTTCAGAGCCCAGAACTGTGCCTGGGTGTTTGCTAAGATGGAAAAGGAGGAAGAACCTGCTGCTGCTGACTTGGCTAATTCTAGGAGATCTTGGATAAGCTTTATGGTTAAATCATTCAAATAATAATTTAAAAATACTTGAAAATAACCGCTTTCAGATACCACTTAAATAACTCCTTTGTCCTTGTAAGCAGGATTGCCGTTCAAGGTCGAGGTGATCCTGAGTCTGTAATACACTGTCCCTTTGGTAGCCGCAATTTCTCCCCTTCTGCTCTGAACCCAAGACTGATTGCACCCGGGCTCTTACAGCTCCCTTTCCTCTCTGCTCTGAAAGTTTGAGGAAGAGGATGCTCATGGTTGGAAAGGACATGTCCCTCTCCCCTCGTAGCATATCCTGCTGAGTTATTGATGACAGCTTTCTTCAAGTCACCGATGGCCATTCAGAATTCCATACATGTCAGGTGCCAACCCCAAGCCCATCCACACGTCTGAGATGCGTCGGTAAGTCTCTTTGGGGAAGGGCGTGAGAGAACAGTGCACTCTCCTACCTCTCTTTTATCGTCCACCATATTCCATATGATTTGAAAGTGGCGAAGGTCATTATAACTTAAAAGCTGGTCTTCCTCAGTGGAATAAAACAAAGAGAAATTCTCCACAATTATGGCTAAAAAAAAAAAAAGAAAAATGTAGAAGTTAGACAATTATACTAATCTGTTATTTTTGTAGAACAACGAAAACATCGATTATAAATAATGGATTTTATCACCTGCATTAGAAGCCAACTTTTTAAAGTGCTTTCAGTATGGTTTCCAAGTTGGCATGTTTTACACTTGGGCTAAGCTATTTATCCAGCTCCCACCTTTGCAAAACATGAGGGTTGGGAGCACAAAGACGCATTCTGTGTGTACAGATATTCAGGTCGGCTGGCTGTAACTCTTAGTGGAAGGTTCCAGAGCAGTTTTTAAAGGTCAAATTGAGTTCTGGGTGGCCTCGCAGCTGGGCGAACAACGTGTACCTTTCAAAAGCATAAATGTGATATTTCAAGGCTATAAAGGTAGCCCTCCTTAATATTTGTTCAGCTCAATCCATGAGAAGAGGTCTTTTGAGATTAATGATCATAATAAATAGTACAACTCTTAAAATTGCAATCAACTGTCATTTACATACCTTTTAAAGGTCTTTTCAGCTTCTGGATTGAGAGGCAACGATTTATAATTAATGCCACGAAACACCCACCCCAAGCAATCCAGGATAATTACTTGAAAATTGTACATAATTATCTAAGTGCCTGAGTTTAAAAAGATTAAAAAATATTCAATGCAGTCACTTACCTACAAGCAGATTTAGCATGATGTAGGCAATGATGACATAAAATGAACAGAAATACATAAGCGCTCCGGCATAATTTCCACAGTCTGTGGCCCAGTATGTAAATTCATCTGGAGTACAAAAAGGAGGCTGAACCTTTGGGGCAGTAGGGCGGAAGAGCAGGGAGAGGGTGAGAGTGCAGAATACAAATTTCTGCTAACTGACTACCATTAGTGCACATACCCCTAGTCACATGGAATATGATTAACTTCAAAGTAATCTTTCAAAAGCCATGCACATTGGGTACATCATCAGTAACAAAAATCAAAAAGAATATTTCATTGATGCTATGCTTTTTGTCTTGTTGAATCCTAAGTTCACTGCCATTTTTAGAAGCTCAATGAAAACGAACCGGTTTCCTCCCCCGATACTGTTTCTGCCACCCCCTGGCACCAGGTGATAAGTAGCCACATGATGCAAACTGCAGAAGGTCAAAGAAAAAGGCATTCAAAAATTTTCTCTAACTTAAGTAATGGGTTACGATTTAGGAAGGTAGACTACACATAGTAAATTCACATTCAAGTTGTATAAGGAATAATCCCCACTCCTGGAGCACCATTATGGGATGTTATAGAAGAGCATAAGACTTAGATTATCAAAAGCCATTCTTTAGAGGCCCAATACAAAGCCAACACCTCTGAGGAACCTTTCTGGTTTCTTTCAGCCAGAGAGACCAGCTCTTTGTTCTATGTTCTGACAGCATTCTGCCTGTACTTCTATTTAGAGTTTATCAATTCTGCCTGTGTTATATTTGATTTGGTAAATTCTGTCCCCACTCATTCCTGGAGACCTAACCATGTGTTAGGTTTGTGCCAAATGCTGGGGAGACAGAAATGACATAGGTTCTATCTCCCTCCTGCTGCTGGTAGTCCAATATGGTGGCCACTAGCTCCATGTGGCAATTTAAATTTAAATTTATGTTAATTAACATGAAATAAAAATAAATAAATTTAAAATTTTCATCAGTTCCTCAGTCGTGCTAGCCACATTTCAAGTGCTCAATAACTGTATAGGCTAGCTGCTCCTGAATTAAAAAGCACAGATTTCCATCACTGTAGAAATTTCTACAGTACAACATGGTCTGGAGGGTGAAAGAGAGATGAAATAAAATAAGTAGAGCCAACAATTCACTACAGCGTGATATTTGCTACAAAGGAGAAATATAGAGCATTGTAAGAACATACATCCAGCAGTCTTAGCTTAGGGCAAAAGACCTGAAGGAACAGACGTTTAAATGGAGATCAGAAGGATGATGGAGAACTAGCCCAGAGAAGGTAGGGTACCTCAGGAAGAGCAGCTCAGAGCCCCAGACGTGAGCTCCTGGAGGATGCCTTGGAACTGTTGAAGACCTAGCATCTAGCATACGACCCAGGACAAACCAGGGGTGCAGTGAATATCTGCTGAATACGTTAAATTAAAGAAGTGGAGCTCCCTTGTTCGACTTTGACTGCCAAAATGTTAAAGGTGGAAGGGAAGGAACAATGCTCACGCAATGCATATTTGTTGAATGGAGCTATGATAGCTCAAGTTAGGTTAATAGAATATTTTTCCCTAAATATGCATATACTGTAATGTAAAAGAATACAATTTTATGGACTAAAAGGCCAGGATGTTTAGTTTGTAAGCAAAGTCTTGATGCTAACAAGGATGCGTTTGCCAAAGAGTTCCATGCTCATTCTAAGTGGACGCACTGTTAGTGATAAGGAGATAGTTACCATACAGTCATGCATGATCTTATTCCAGTCTTCACCTGTGACAATTCTGAACAGTACGGTAATGGCTTTGCCAGCTGAAGAAAAATTTGCATGCCTAATTTAAGAAAAAAATAATAGAATGTGAATAGAACGGTTTCTCATAAAGTAATATGGTTTGTCACCACCAAAATGGGTGGACTTTGCAGCAAATTGGGTTGCTAAGTTACCATTTCTGAAGGTTATACCCTTTTACTTGTTTACCATTATACTTGCTCCTAAGTATAGTTGTCTGAATGATGCACCTCTAGCACGGCCATTCATCTTGATTTATTTATTCATTTATAATTCAGTTCATTGCCATTCATCTCGAATGACAGAGTGAGCAAGTTTTGGCAACTAAAAGTAATTTCTGTTTTCACTTGGAATATGCCACATAAAGGCAAAGCAGCCATGTATCAACTAACGAGTCATTTCTTCAACAAGATCCATTTGTATTGATGAAGGAAATAATCAAAATGAAGTGGGCTTTCCAAAACTCACTGCCTTGGGATAAGTCTCATGAATTCGATGTTGACATCTTGTTCTTAAGATAAACAATGTGTGTGGTTAGAACTGCTGATTTATTGATTAATGTAAACTGCTGGTTCTGAATAAGCTGTTAAGATGTTGCTAAGAACAGCAGAAGCATGAAGCTTCTGCTTCGGGTTGCTTGAAGACACTTCAGGCTCCCATGTTGTCATCAGTAACCAATGATTGTGTGATTCTTGTGTTCCTCGAGAAAAGGACAACTGCATTTGGAGCTTCTCCCCTCCCTTTTGAAACCTCCCTTTTAAAACTTCCTCATAAAATGCCTTTGCTTGGAGCAGAATTTGGAGCACTTTTAAACTTTGTTGACTCATGTTTTCCGGGTTTACCTTCAAGTTTGGCTTTCAATAAACCTTTATAAACTTATTTCTGCCTTGACAGCCTTGATTTCTGTCCACAGTACACATTTTGTTGTGTCAGGACTCCCCCTTTTTTTTAAACTACAAAATGCTTCCATATAATGTAGGATAACCTTTGAAAAATGCTTCTCATATAAAACAACCGTTTCGTGGGTTCTAACTTTCCATATTTTGCTGGAAAAAACTCAAAGCCATCTCAAAATTGTTTCATCTAAAAAATAATAAATATTTTTTGGTAATATGTGGATAGAAAAAGTGCTGGAATCAAGAGTGGTTATTCCTGAGTGTTATTGGAATTATGAATTCTTTTAGTTTCCTTTTATTTCTGAACTTTCTAAGCTTTCTAAAGTAAATGTGCATACCTATTTCAATTGGAAACATGTTATTTAAAATTTGGCTATTTTATTTTATTTTAATTCCCAACTGGTTGCTTCCCTTCTCCCCTCCCCCAGTGTTTAATAAACAACAAGAAAGTTTTTATTCATGATTTTATTACTAAAAACATTTGCTTCATAAATGAATAGAAAGATAAACATACACCAACCTGTTAATGTTCTCTCCATATTTCACAGTACCAAATAAAACAACTCCAGCGAAAGCATAGCACAGCAGCAAGAGGAACATTCCTACTATGATAAAGAAGCTTTTGTACATGCTGACAACCACGGTCAGGAGGAGCATCTTAAGTGTTACCTGGAGACGTTGGGGGTGGGAACAGAGAGGGGGAGGGACAGAGGGAGAGAATATTTAATTCATTAAGCCATGGAAGACCTGAGTAGCAAATAATATTTAAGCAGGTTGGCTCAAAAGTGACTCTCGAGTATGTCATTTGAAAATTGCTTCCTATTAGGTATGAAACCTGAATATTATTAAGAAACCATCAGGCACTGAGAATTCTAATCATACTTCAAACTGTTCTGTCTCTTCAGCCAAATTTATAAGAGTAAGACCCTAAGCTTTTAAGACCCTTCCATTTACTCTTCTTTTACTTCCCAATTCTTTACAATAAGGGATGTACATTTTTGGCCTATAGCAGGTAGACTCAAGTTTCTTCCACAAACAGACTTTCACAAAAACAAACCTAAACAATGATAGAATACTAAGTAACCATCTAATATTCAATAATTGATTATGTGGATATATGGAATGTATATATGAAATAATGTTAGTAACAACAAAGGAAACAATATTTAAAAAAACAAAAAAATATATGCGGAACGTATGTATGAACATTAACAAAGAATATAAAGAAATCTGGATTCAGGGACTCATGAATGTTCACTAAAGATTATTTTTCATTACAGTAAAGTTACTTAATTTTATTAAAAGCAAAAACAATAAAATAAAGATGCATTAAGAAAGACCATTGGTTTTTGCTTTCATAGCTGATATCTTTAACTGATGATTCAGTTTACTTAGCAAATATGAAGACTAAACTAAACAACATAAATGTCAGGAAGCATCAAAAGATAACAAAGCTACTGATTCATTTTAATTTCTAATATTTGTTAATCTTGACTTATGATGTCTAGTAATTTGTTTTTTTTTCCTTTTTGTCTTTTTTCATGACCGGCAACGGATCGCAACCCTCAGTGTCGCGCCCGTACCGGACCAGGACTGGCAACGGGATCGCAACCCTTGGTGTTGCGCCCGCACCTCGCTCAGCCAGTGAGCGGGAACCGGTCTGTATGTGGGATCCGAACCCTCGGCGGGAGTGCCGCCACGCTCCCAAGTGGCACACTGTAGCAGTGCGCCACCGGGCCGGCCCGTAATTTGTTGACTATAGCCCTGAACACCAAGAAGTAAGGTTGACATCAACTGGTCACCGTTTTTTCCTTCAGTGTGTATGTAATTTTTGATAGAATTCTTCACAACATACTTACATGCTTTCCACAGATAGAGAAAAATCTAAAGACGATCACACAAGCGCCCATCATGTAGGTGTACGCATTCTGAAATTTAAACAGAAGACGGCCTCTCATAAGATCTTGTTGCACAAAAGATCTTGTTACAGTTCCATTTTTCATATTAAGTCTTCTTTGAAGTCTACTGAATAATTAGTTTAATAAAATGTAAAAATTTCTATAAGAAATTCATCTAAAAAATGTGCTGAAAAGGTCACTGCCAAAACTCATGAATACATATTAGGTATAAAGTCAAGTCTCAAATGAAATTTTGGGTTCTGTTTTGCTCAGCCGAATTCCGTGTTTTATATTTATTTTATACAAAGTAGTGACCAGCTCCTTTAAGGACAGGGTGTGGAAAGCACAGGATACTAATGGAACACAAGGAAGGCAAGGGAGATGGGAGATAAAGGAATTTGATGCTGGAACAGATGCTGGAAGTCAGATATCTTCTTTCTGAAGGTCCCTAGAGACCTCTGAAGACCAGCAACGTCTTCATTAGTCTAAGCTAAGTTCAGAGAAGTCCTCACTGCTCAGAAACACATCCAGCTCCTTCTTCAAATGTGTGACTGGCAGCGAGAGATGACTGTGCTTTATGACTAAGAAAGCTTCCTCAGAGAAACAAAGATCCCACAGGCTATCACTGCAAAAACAACCTTGACATTCAGCTGATGCCAAGGCATGATTATTCTAGAGAGGCCTGCCTAGCCAAATGACAACAGTCACAGATGGGTCCCCAGGAAGGGTGCCCGGTGAAATCCTTGCTGAGGTACAAATAAATGAATGTGTGCACATAGCCTCTTTGGATGGGAAACGAGGACTGCACCTTCCTTTCCAGCAGTCCACTGAAAAACACATTCCGTTCAAGAACAGAGGTCCTTGGAGAAGAACAAAAGCAGTTAGGCAGAATAGGGAAGTTGGTCTTGTAGGCTTAGGCTTTCCTCTCCTGGGACATCTGGGATTGGGAAGCCCCGTCTACTCTTCTGCTTGAACTGCGTAGCTCTCGGCTACAATTTTTCTGGAGAAAGAGAAAACATGGGCCTTGCTGTCTCTTTTCCTCGTTAGCTCAAGACCTATCATAGCTACCTTCTTCCTTTATGTTCTGAAAGTAACGGCAGTTGACAGTTTCCAGGACAATGACCCGAATTCTTCACCTAGACTGCAAGGTCCGGAGATGTCTGACACCATCTGACCCATCCCAATCTTGTCACACGACACACTCTCTCCTTCTGCTCCAGTCACATATGTCCTTCTCTCAGCTCCTGCACCTTCCCATCACAGGGACAGCCACCGGAAATGTCCTCCTCTCATCCTGAACCCACTCATCATTCCCTCAGGGATGCCTTCCAGGACCTCTGTGATGAAGCCATCTCCCTCTGTTATATATATTGTCACAGCAGCATGGGCTGTCCTCTCCTCCCTCACCATGGCATAATGCTCATTGATCCGAGAGCATCTGTTGAGTCTCTGTCTAGCTTCTCAGGCTGTAAGGTTCATGAGAGCAGCGTCTGCTTTTGTTTTGCTCATTACATTCTTCCCAACTCCTAGCACAGTGCCTTGTACACCGTCAGCACCCCAAACCATCCATTGCTTAGCAAAGGACTCAGGGTGACTGAGAGCTCTCCTGTGCTTCACGCAGCCCTGATGCTGACGACAACCACGGGTATAAGAACACTCGATATGGTCATGGGCACAGCAACCTCACATCGAAGCAAGCCCTTCCTGATGTGTAAATGAGTTCTACGCGTTTTGGATCCTTCTCAGCATGCCTCTAGCATTGAAGGGGATGGGAGAATGGATAGAAGGGAATGGGGAAAACCTGAACATTTTACTTTGGGCTAGGATCAGGGAAGACGAACAATAAAGAAGGTATTTGTAACAATGCCTTGTGAGTTTGTGTAATCTTTACAGTAAGCTTCACATACATGATCTCACTTCATCTTCATCATGCTCGTAGGGAATAGGTGGACTATCAAGTTACATCCTCCACTTCACAGCAGGGAACAAAAGGGTCAGTGCAGACAATAACTTGGTCCAGGCTGGTCCTACCCTAGGACCCAGATCTTCCAGAGCTGCTCTGCCTAATGTGGTAACCACTAGCAACATGTGGTTATTAAGCACTTGAAATGTGTAAAATACACACTCAAAGACTTTGCACACACACAAAAATAAAGGATGTAATATAGCTCAATAATTTTTTATATTGCTTACATGTTGAAATGATAATACTTTTGATATGGTAGGTTAGAAAATTTATTATTAGGCTAATGTTATTTGCTTCCTTATTTTATTTTATTTTTTAAAATGTAGCTGCTAGAAAATTTTAAATGACACGTGTGGCGACACGTTATTCTATTGGACAACACAGTTCTAGATTACAGTCAAATACACCCATAGCTGCAGATTTTGAGCTGCGCCCCAGACTTAATGAAAAGTGAAGACATTTGGGTAACACAGTGAAAACCCAGGTGGAGAGATGGGGAAGGATGTGCTTTAGAGAAATGGCAGCTAGATGTCCAGCAGAAAATAAAGCAGCAGAAGTACCCAAGAGTTACCTAGTAAAATATCGACTACGATGAAGTGGAATGGACATTGCTGCCGAAGGGACGTCACTGAGCGATGCTTCAGCTCAGAACACAGGGTTTGAGTTTTCTGATACCAGCCTGCTGTGTGAATTTAGACAGTTTTCTGTATCTCTCTGTTCCAGCTTTCCTCTCTCTCTCTTGTTTTATGCTTTGGTAAAATGAGGGTTAAACCAGAAGACCTGTAAGGTCTTTCTCCTTCTGGCTCGCACACTCTAGAGCTTTGAAGGGCCCGGTGGCATCTGCATGAAGAGCGTGGGTGTGTGCACACGTACACGCGTGTGGGTGCGTCTACAAGCATGTCTGAGGGCCAGTCATGATCAAAGCTGGGCTTTAGGGAGGTTAATCCCGTACCCGAGGGCAGGTTGACATGGAGTGAAATGAGACTGGACATGGGGCTGAACTGAACTAAACTGAAATTATCAACTGAAATAAAGTTTAATCATGTGCTTACCAAGAGGGCAAAGTGAAGTATCACCCACACGACACCGAGCGACGTCACCAGGAGGTCATATCGATTTCTTCTGCTTTGCCAGAAGCCAGCAGGTGACATTGCTATGATCTTCATGGTGACCTGGGGAAAAAAGAATAAAGATATTAAACAGAGGGTGAATGTTTGGCACATATTTTAATGTGTTAGCTTCAGCTGTATTACGTATTTTTAAGAATGTAGTAACCAAAAAAAGAGTTTATTACCAAGATACATGATTTTATTTTCAAAGCTAAGTAGGTTACAAATCTGTATTCTCTACACTCTTTGCTTCTTGTTTTATGACTAATGCTGATAGCAGGACATTTTTCTTCCTCAAGTAAAATACCATAGATTTTGGGGACACATCAGCCAGTATAGGGTGAAATGAGAATCTGCTTGTATTTCAAAGAAGATTGCACTGGACAGAGATATTATATGGATCACATATTAAAATCATCTTGGCTGGGCCAAGTCGCTTTGACACCTTATTGCAATTGAAGTCCCTGAATTACAGTGGCTTGTACAGTTTGCTCTAAATATTGGAACTCACATACTAGACAGGCCAACGTTCAGACACAATAATCAACAGCAGCATTTCTGCCTTTAGAAAAATCCGAAAGACAAAATGAAGTCTTTGTTTAAGTTAAGCAGAACAGCCTAAAAAGGAAATATCCTAAGAGCATGGTGCATCTCCCCCCTTCAAAAAAAAAGGCCTCAAAGGCAATGGAACACAGAGTTGAAAGCATGTGCCATCAAAAAGGGACACTGATTGACTTGAAAACTGTGCTCAGCTCCCCCCAGGGCCAGCTGACTCATTACTGTACCTCTAGAACAAAGATGAAGGTGAAAACCACCGACATAGTTGCCAAAGGCACGGTCACCGGGTCCTCGACGTCCCACTGTAAAGAAACAGCACAAGCGTCTTTGCCCACATCCATCTGACACTTACAGACTTTCCCCTCTTCTGCCCATTTTAACATGGCTGTGAATCTTAATGTTTACACTAAAGAACCTAAACTGTGAATGCATATGGAAGCTTGTGGTATTCTTGGGTGCACCAGTAAATCCAAAATTCTTTCCCAGAATCTTAATGTGCAACGAAGTACCTTGACAGACAGCAACACCGACTGGGCCAGAACAAGTAACGCGATCGTCCTCTTAAAAAATGGATGCTGGGTTATGTCATACATTTTAGCTCTAAAACCATCATTATCTGGAAAAGAAAGGTTTAGGCAAGGGCATTTTAGACATGGGTCATATTTACTTTCTTATCTTTCATTTTCTTTAATGCTCATCTTAAAACCCATTACATATTTCCCCCTACAGTTCCATCCCTTGTGAAGTGTTTTGCAGGAACGGCTGGCTCTGAATATTTAGAACGACAGTGCATAATGCTGGTTGCGTTGGAAGAAGCGCATCATTCAATTTCTGTCAGCTTAACCCATTTCACTCCTATTTTAAAAAGGCAAGCACAAATATATTTTATCTAAAAATTCATTTTTTCATTAAGGCTTATTCTAAGAGCACTGAAGCACAGCCTTTGGTTGGCTGATTTTAATAGCCTATGGAAAGATCTGTAGTTTGGAGCCTGTGTCTGTATTAACTTATGCACAACCTCCTAGTGGCCTCACGATTATTATTTTAATTTAAATCTGAGACTCCTGGGGAAACATGAGCACTACTGCCCAACATGAATAAAACCAGAACATCTTTGATACCCGGGCGAGGTGGGAGATGAAGAGGCTGTGCGATCTTCAGTCTGCTCTTCAGGTCTTCCCATCTTCTCTGATCTACGGTCAGCAGAGCGGTCCCCTAAACAAACAAAGGAAAGCAGGAAAAGACATTTTGTCACATGCTCAGTGCCAAGAGCATTGCAGATGGAGTGCTGAGACAAACAGGGCTGATGTGAGGGGTTACAATAAAGATTTTCTGCAAATACCATGGTGGTTAGAGCAACGTAGTTAGAATTCTCAAAGTTAGTCTTAGAGGAGTTCCCAGAACGACAGCCACGTGTTTCAGAGAGTATCCACCAGCCGCTGATTTGTACCTTTGGAGATGTGTAATATTCAGATTTGGGAAAATTTAAAGGAAGTTTTCTACATTATTATATTTTCAAAAAGGGATACCAACAAATAGTGGTTTGTTTCTTTTCATTTCATAGCAGCAAAATTATAGCTTGTCAGTGGTGCTGCTTCTAGTTAAGTGTATTTTGTTTTAGTTTTTCTTAAAAAACATGCAATTGCAAGACTATTTTGAAGAGGTACCAAGTCATAGAATTTGCCTCTTAAAGAAATTAGTGCTGTGATACTGACTAAATAGGATCAGATATTCTGTATTATTTAATAGAGCACCTGATTAAAATGCACATAAATTATATTATATTACATTCTATCATATTGTATCACATTATATTGAATTGCACTGCATTATATTTTATTTTATTTTGTTTTAAAGGCAGAAGTATAATTTGAGAAACTGGACAAGTAACCCACTCCACTTCTATTCTCTCTTTCCTTCCCTGGAGCTAATGACTGTCCTTCACGGGTGTATCTACCTTATTGTATTTTCAGACTTTTGTGCTCATGTATGTATAAATACATAGGAATACATTTGTTTTACATTTTTAACATTTATAAAATGGTATCCAATATGTGTTTATTTATGCAGTTTGTCTTTATCTTCACTGATCAGTATGTTTTGCACACCAATAGATTATTAGATCTAACCTGTTCATTTGTACTGCTCATGTGCACTGTACAAATACGAATATCTTAGAAGCTATTCATTTTAGGTTTATGGACTATAAACAATGCTACAACAAACACACATATACTGTGTTACTGTAAACATCTATGATAGTTTCTCCACTGTAAATCTCTAGAAGAATTTCTGGGGTCTGGGAATTTAAGCATCTTTATATTTATCAGATGTTGCCAAGTTGCCATCCAAAAGCAACAACCAAAAAAATTTCCCACCAGCAATATTATACAAGTGTTCCCATTTTCTTATATTCTCACCAATACTTGACATTATCAGACATTTGAATTTGGCTATTTTGATGAATGTGAAATATTCTAACTTAGTTTTAATATTAATCAGATGAAGCATTTTGTATGTGTATAACTAGCGATTCTTGTGTCTTCTTATGTGAATAACCTATTCATATTTTTTGCTCATTTTTGTATTTTGATATTTACTTTTTAATATTTTGTAAAAATTCTTTATATACATGTATTCTCAGTACTAATATTTTGTCAGTTATGTGAGTTTCTTCTTGGTCTTAGCTTTTATTTTTATCTTGCTTATAGTGCCTTTTGTCACTAAGAAATTTAAAATTTTAATGTAATCTAATTTATAAAATTTTTTTCTTTAAAGATTTTACTTTGTGGCTAAGTCAAGAAATCCACAATGACTCCAGGGTCAAAAATAAATACTTATATGGTTTACAAATATCTATGGGGCACAGAATTATACTTCATTACATGTATACGATGTGCGACTCTAATAAGAGTAATTAGCATATTCAGCTTTGCAAAACTTAATTTTTTCTTTGTGATGAGAACATTTGATCTCCTCTCTTCTAGCCATTTGATAATATACAGTAAAGTTATTGTTAATTATAGATACCTAAGCACTACCGTTCACAACTAGAACTTATTTTTCCTATCTAGCTGTAATTTTGTGTCCATTAACCAACCTCTCCTGTAACAACACTGACACTCTTTTAATGACTATATCTTGTTTACTTTCATTTTTGTTGATGCTCAACCTTACTCAAGATATATTGACTTAATTTTTTTAAAGAACCAGCTTTTGCTATTCTTGAACCTTCTAGAAACTATAGAAGTTTCTTCAGTTTCTATATCATTAATTTCTGTCCTAATCTTTGTTAGTTTCTTCCTACTACTTACTTAAATTTTACTTTGTTGTTCTTATAATACTTTGATTTGGATATTTGACATTAATATTTAACCTTTGGTTTTTCTCTAACATATACACTTAAAGTGATAAATTTCTAATTACTGATTTATCTATATACCTTGTAATATTAATATTGGTAAACCACTCTTCTCACTAATTGCAAATACTTGTTCTCTGGACATCATAAATGACTAATATTATTCCTTTGTTATACAAAACAAGGTATTTTGGAAAGTTAAACTCTGAAAGGATCCAAAAGAATAATAAACATGCAGGTATCATCTGACCATTACTATACGAAAACCTCTGAAAGTTTATTATTGTTAAATTAAGTTTATTAATGAAACACATTGTCTTACAATAGGGAAATCAGAAAAAAAATATTACTGGTATAGACATGGAACTTTTTAAAGAGGCTTCAATTTTCTAATGAAGACATATTTTTGCATAATTCTGAATTATGAAAACCTTGCCCTCATATCTTACTTGATTTGCCATATCTCTAGATCTGTCTATTGCCTCTATATTTGGAAATTTATCTATAATACCCTCGGGTATGACCATTAAGCAGTGTGCTAGAAATTTTTGTGTTTAGTGTTTAGTGGAGTTGGTTGGGTTCTCTGTGCCAAAAGCAGCATCTGACACCTAATAGGAACTTAAATCTGCTGAATGATTAATAACAAACAATTAAATGCTGTTATATAGCAGATTGAATGCTACCTTCTAAAAAACTTGCAGAAAAAAGCCTTTTCTATAAGGTTGACATAATGTAAAAATTTATATATCACCAATTAATTGATCGAGTTTGTAATGACTGGTAATATGACTTCTAACTTTCCCCTTTCCCTAAGCACCCATTGGCACTAACATAACATGCTCCCCAAACAGGCCAAGTCACTTCCTCCTTCAGAACTTAAATACAGTGTTGGAAGTGCACCTCCTTGTTATTCTGCTCATTTCAGCCATTCCTCTAAGTTCAAGTGTTGCAATTAATTATACATTTGTTTCCCGTTACTGAACATTATATGTTGTTTCATTTATGTTCCTGAATTGTGAGCTGCCGTAGGCCCTAATTCTCCTGAAATCAGGTGCCTTCCGGGAGGGCCTTGCCTAGCGTTCTGAGCCAGCGGTGCCTGGACGCCCCTGTTCACTGACTGAGTCACTTCTGCTCAAATTCTGGAATTCCCAGTGTCTGCTCCATTACGAGGCTCAAAGGCATCTCAAAAGAACCCGCTTCCTTTTTCTGCTTGGTTTTAAACCGAACACACTACAGGGCTTAAAGAGCTCATTTATGAATATGTAAGGAAGTAAAACAGGGAGGCTGGGCAACACGATCGCTACCGTTCTTCCTAACTCTGCAAGTCCATGTTTCTGTGGGTCTGAGTAGTGTTGGGGCCCAAAGGGGAGATTTTTCAATTGCACCCTTTTGAAAGCCTGAACGAAATGACATACTTATTAGGCACGCATAAAAGGTGGTAATTGACTGAGTAACTTGAACCACACACGTTGAGCCTGGGGACAGTGAATGGTGGAGTCCCATGTGTAGCTACATAAACCAAAGAGCTCTGATGTGAACACATGGGAATCAGTCCCAGCCATGAATAACATTGAACGGCACGGTGCTTTGCAGGCAAATCTGGCTTCAATTTAATGCAGAATGGGCTCATTTTTATGTTCTTGCATTTGAAGAATCTCAGGCCCTCCGTACCAGGTGTCAATTCTGAGTTCTGGCCCCATTTTATTCCTTATAAGTCCCAGACAAGTTTATTGCTCTTTCTTCAACAGTGCACTTCAGAAGTTGTGAGAATTGATAGTAGTACCTAGTAAGTCCACAGTAAGTACTCAACAACTGTATGCATTTCAATTAGTATGGTTCCAAAAGACTGCCCCTTTCCCAGTAGAAGGTATATCAGCTGAGCCAGAACCTCTCCAAGGAGCGCTAAATAGAATGTTCTTCCCTAAACTTACTTTTTGATAGGAAGCTACATTGCTGTTTTCCCATTTGTAAGTCCTTGTACTGATCATTAGAGCTGTTATGTACTCAGCATGCTTCCTGAGTTCTTAAAGTATGTAAAGTTGATATGAAATTAGATAATCTTTTTATTCTATGAACTAGGATTTAAAAATGTCTACCACACTCCTCCAACAACCATCAAAATTCTGAGTTCACCTACTGAGTTACAAAAAAGCATACATTTTACATTTTGTGAAAGTAATATTACCTGCAATCAGTGGATCGTTTTCATCTATTGTATGTTAATAACTTGCTGCACATCCTTTCAATTTGAACAATAGGAGATGCGCCTCTCAGTTGTCAGGGAATTAATGACACTGTTACCAAAAGGGTAAATTTAGCAAGAGAATTGTACTCTTAAATAATGTGCCTGAAAGGCGGCAATAAGGTAGCTTGTAAAATAGTTATAGAGATTATTTTACCAGTCACATTACAGTTTAATGCGACTTCATGCCGTGTGTGAAAAAAGAGTTCAAAGTGAGTAGCTAGAAAAGAATAAACCCTGTGGGATTCAAACCAAGAATTCTTACCTTGTTTTCATTGAAATTAGCAATAACCACTCCGACAAAAAGGGTCAGTCCAATCATGCAACCCAGGAATACAAAAACATGAATATAGATTCCATGGATCTGCATAAATGAAAAATATGGTTATTCACAAAGCAAATGAAAGCTGCCCTGGAAGCGTCCAAAGCCTTTGGTGTGCTTGCTTACCGGCCCCACACGATGGATAATAACGTCCCTTACTTCCACCCAGCCTTTCAAGGAGAGGACTTCAAACAATGCCAGCATAGCATTTCCCACATTGTCAAAATTAAAGTTCCGAGGGTTTGCCCTGTAATTCAGAAAGAGGAATGATTTGTGAAATTCCAAGGAGAAGCATCCTAAGGCAAATATCCCTAGCTCGTTCCGATCTCGGGTGCACAGTATATTCAGTGTTTGGGAAGGTGGGCTACGTGGCATTTGTTTGCTAAATCATAACAATTCGTTAATGTGTTGTAATTTATTACTTAAGTTCATTAATAATGATGGGGTGTTCTTAATTTAAAGCAAAACGCTTAACAACTCTAGTTTGAGAGGTTCTGCAGTGTTTCTGCCTTGTCCCGACCACACTGGGGACTGGCAATGGAATTTTACAGACTTGCTCAAAGGGGCACTGGGTTTTGGATGTGAAGTTTGAAATAGTTTTATAATTGAAAACCATTGTCTTTACAATTGTAACATAAGTTACAATTCCCTGTGTTAGTAAAGAACGTGTAAATAGAATGGAATTTTGTTACTTTAATTTTGTGTCATCATTGTGAACTTTATGTAAAGCAGTGACACATTTAGAAGTGACTGAGGTGGGAAGGGGTGTTTGCTCATGGCCTGTGTTTCTAAACCACTCTTGCCAAGTTGGAGTTTTTCTCTCATTAACTCTGAGTATTTTCACTAGTCCCTTGCTGTAACCCCCAATGTGCAGCATGCTGTCTACACCCACAGTTGATTCCTGATTCCTAAAACACTTGGACCCCACTAGGATTCATTTTCTTTGGGTGGGTGGGAAGTAGGGGAGAATGTCTCATTTCCTGTTTTCCTTACACGTTTATACTTCTTTCCACTTAAAAACATGATCCTTTCTACTATACGACATCTTCTTTAATCATTATGGGTCTTGGCTAACATTTTTGTCGTTAATAGAAAAAGCTTTCAGTGTTTTTTTCCCCTTTTCCTTCTTATTAGAGGCTATTTTAAATAATTAGAAGACTTAGACAACCCCATACTGGACAATTATGGACTATCACTACGTTTCCCAAATTTGATGAATGATCAAGCTCTGGATGATTAAGTAGAGTAGGCCTACTGGAGCCTATTGAAATTATATTTTGATCATTTTTTTTGCCTGCTAGCTCATTTATCAAAATTTAACCCTCATGAAAGGTAACACTCTGGGGGAAATCCAGTTCAGTATTTTTCTACCATCTTTTATATTTTCTAAACCATAGAGACAACCATGAGATGTGCCCTTATAAGTTCTTTTAAAAAAATACTAAATAGATGGGGATCTAATAAAAAAAACATAAAACTGAAACTGCCTTGCTCCTAAGGGTTAAAGGCTGATTGGTAGAGTTGCTTCCTATATGATGCAAAAGCCCTATTCAGAAATTCATAGTTTAGAATTCTGATTTATATTTTTTATCTGTGAAAGTATAAATATATTCTTTTGAAATTTTCAACATTTCCCTTGGAGAGTTTCAATTAAATTTTATAGATTTTATAGCAACCAGAAGTTGGAAGGATCCTACTGCCACAGTCTGCTCGAATAAGGATTTTTTTAAACCAAGGGAGCCGGTTCTCACATCTGATGTTGAACTTCCTTACCCATTCATTTTCTTTATGTAGAAGTGCTTTTCTAGCTGAATTTGCAGTGACTTAAACTACTTTCATATTTTATATCCTTTAGCAGTTACAATATGTTAAAAAAAAACCCAAACTTTAAGGCTAAACCAACAAAACCACAATGTAGTATCATAGACTTAAAAAATTGGAAGAATATTACATTTTAAAAAATAAGTCTTTCAGTTTCAATAATGTAAGATTTAAGCTTTGTTCATGCAAACAAATCTGGAGAGTTTGAAACTTTACTTAGAACTACAGAGGACTTCAATTAATCCCAAACATAATCCATGATTGTCATTTTACAGGTTGCCCTTCCTTGAATTGGAAGGTGCTTAAAAACCATCTTTTCTGGTAAATTTTTAAAAGATTTCAACCACCTAGCCTAAAGAAATCAGACTCTTTTTGTGCTTCCTAGAACGCACCGACATCCCTTTTGCCTGGAGCTTTGCCGGCTAAGCCTCCTCCACCTGTAGGACCTCCCTCCGCCTTGCCCCTCCTTTCCACCTGTTACTGACCCCTGCCCTTTCACCTTCCTGATTCCTGTTCATTGTCCCTCAGAAGTTAACTAACGTGTCTTCTCCTCTGGTCCTTCTCCTGGTCCTGTCGTGGTTTGGGGTAGTGCCTGTGTGTGCCACTGTGCCCCTTCCATTCTGTAGGAACCACGTGGATATACCACGTAGCTAAAGCAACCTAAGCCTCAAGATCCCTCCCTCGCCCTGGTCCCTTCCAAGACCCTGGTACCCCAAATTGTTTGAGCCTTAGACCCCCAAAAACCTGATCTCCTTCTGTCTGGAATATATCACAGTGTAACTTAAAATTACCTGGAGGTGAGATTCAGGTGGGCTAGAGGTGTGCTTAGGGACTCATTTGTGTAGCATTAATGCCCTTAGCATATTATATGAAATTATCTGTAATTTTATTTTCTGCTCTCCACTAGACTTCAAGCTCCTAGATGGCAGGGGACGTATCTTATTGATGGCTGTATCACAGTGACAAGCACAATACCTGGTGAATAGTGAGCACTCAATCAATACATTTATTGGAAAAACTGAATACTGTGTGGATTCTTCTCCCATGCATGCCATTTTCCTACACTCAGACCTCTGCTTAAAATAAAACACACAATATTTATAATACATATGTATAATCATTTTTACTGAGGTGATTTTTATCTCATCAAATCCAAATGATTCAGAAGAAAATGAATTTATTCATCTGAAGAGAGAATGTAGAAACTAGACTGTCACCTGAATTAGACAACATATGTTTATGTCCTAATTATAATTACCAAAGCATTCCTCCAGACATGTTTCCAGATAAAAGTTATTTTCTTAATCACAATTTAGCCAATATAAAATTACAAATTTTTCAGCTTCTAACTCTTGATTAGTTTGCTCACGAAAGAAAATGTAAAAAGTATCAAGGTTACTGTTGATGTTTATGAGACCAAAGATTTTATTTCACTGCAACTAATGCAAGTCACCATAGCCTGGACAAACAGACAAAAGCAATTATGATGATGTTCAAGGGATGCTTTTAAGATGTCCTTAAACTTAAAACCCCTAACTCACATAAAATATTACATTTCAATTAACTCTTATTTTTAAGATCACGTGTATCTGGGTTTCTTGAACAAGGTGAAAGGAAGGCTGGTGCATTCTAGGAAGCTCAGTTGGGAACAGGTTCACTTTTCTTCCAAACACCACTTTCCAGGGTGTTCCAGCTCCCTTCCTGACATGTTGGGGAGGTCCCAGAGCTTTTCGGTCACTTTCAGTCATAAGATCAGCCTCTTTCTAAAATGCCAACTCCATTTCACATTAAACTTTTGATCTCAGCACCCTTATGATGATCCTATCGTCAGCAGCTCAGACCTGACCCATGGTTTTAGGACAGGAAGAGACACTGGCTGCTCTCTACATCCCACTCCTCCTCTTTGAGACACCCTCTTATTTTTACAAGATTGAGTTATAGCTGGAGTTAGAGAAATGGAGTTAAAGTCCTGTGCATCTGACGCTATGGACTCTGGCCAAGAGCATCAGCCACTGCTCGTTCATGGAGCACATTCATGTGTTTCTAAGAAATACTGCCTGTATTAACCATGTTTCTAGCTTCTGTGAACTTGGTGCTTGAACATCTGTTCTCCATGCATATGCTGGATGCATATCATGCTGACAACCCAAGAACATGCCTGTGTCACTCTGCCTTGGCGTCCTACCTCCCTTATTAACCGTCGTCCCTCTCCTTGGAAGGAGTCCTCCTCCTGGGAGTGTGCTTTTCAAATACAAACAAACCAACCCAGAGTCCATATCCCCAGCCATCTCCTGTATGGGGCTTTCACACTTCAGGCCACTATATACCTGTTCTGATCACCCCAGGTCCAGGTACCAGGCAACTAGGGACAGCCCCTGTGCCCTTGCCCTTGAGTCTGCTGGAACTATTTAAACTAGCCCATCCTAAGTCTGCTTGCCCTGCCTCCCTGTTCCTTCCCGTGGAAACCACAATAGAGGTTTTCCCCACAGTTCTGCCTCTCCCTCTGTCTTGTGACCAACGCTGGTGCCTCTCAGTGTGGTTTCCCGTGGCATGGCATGCCCTCTCCTCTTGAGAACTGTGAGTAACAAACAATCTTTTCAATGGCAATCATTGTACCTTTCCTGCTGTGAGTGTGCAGTCTCTGAGTGATTCTCAGCTCCTGTTTCTGGAAACACAACCATGGCCTCTTTCAATGGGGGCACCCTCTGCCCAGCGCATAGCTCTTTGCAGCAGGGTTCCATTCAAGATGCCTCAGATCAGGTGGCCCTAGGCAATGATCACTTAGCCCTCCAGGAACACTAGATGACCCTGCTCTGGCAGATGGTGAAGAGGAGCTTGCCCACAAGAGCCTCTTGTCTTCCTTGCCAATCTCTGATACTAAGTGGTCCTCCTGGGTACCTCACTTAGCTGGGTTGGGAAGCAGCCTCGACCTTTTCCATAGCAAGGGGAATAGAAATACCACAGCACTCTCTACTCCTGACTCATTTACTTCCCTGATATTATCTTTGAATGTAGAGTTTTCTTTTACATAAACTAGAGCTGGGTGATGAAGGTCGATAATCTTTTAGTAAGTTCTGCTGGTATTGGTTTAGTTACTCTCTTTAGAATGTAAAGATATTTTATCCCTTATTGATTTCAGCTTTGAGGCTTTAGCCAAAATCCCAAGACAATAGGAAAATAAAAATCTCATTTGATGTCCTGATATAAATGAGTTACTTATGGTATGATGAATTTTCATTTCACAAAAATAGATTTTCTGTGCTTCTTTAATTTTTTATTTTAATGTAAATTAGACTGCTTTTCTAGTTAGCACTAGAATGAGGGTATCCCCATGTGCTGTATTTCTCTATTCATGCTGAAGCCGCACATCCAAAATTGATATTTTTTTCACATTTCTTGGGTATTTCAAAAAAATAAAAACCCAACATGAATTACATAGGGTTCTTTATAAGTCAAATTTCATATTAAAGAAATGCCAAAGCAAGGTAAAAATGAGTCCAAGGGTACAGCTGGGTGAAATGCCATTCCTTCTAAAAGAGTCTTGACATTTAGAAGAAAACATCAGCTGTGACAAAAGCAGAGTTGCTGTGGTTCACTTGCTATTCTTAGAGGTAAAAAGGAAATTAAAAACATGAGATAATTAAAAAGGATAAACGAATTTGATAGAACACTGAGTTCATCAAAGAAGCAAATTGAGAGATTCCATTCATAGTCATAAATAAAATAGATGAGAAAAAAAGTACTAGTTCTTTCTAGATTTGATGTAATGATTTGAAAACTCATTTTCAAGAAAAATAAATTTTAAAGAGAATTGGATGTAATCAACTATGTTACTGATTATTTCTCCCCAGTGTTCCAATAATGTAAATCCTTCAATGTAAATGGGTTTTAAAATTGAAATAGCTTTATGATTTAGGGTTCTCTACAATTGTTATGGGGACATCAGATCTTCCCTTAAAGATACAATTTCAGGATAACTTTGGTTTTAATTTGGTAGAAAATCCCTTCTTTTCAGCCTCACTAATTCTTTAAGCCATTTGAATCCAGATATATATTTTTAAAGTATTTAAAAATCACTAAGTTAATATTTCATTAATTTCATGACAGTGCTTTGCTTTGTGTTACTTAAAATCATTTTAATATTTCTAGCAGAATTACTTTTAGGTTCATGCCACATTATACTAATATAAAGCCTTGTATTGACAAATATAGCATTCTTCAAGGTACTTTTTGGTACCTTTATGCTTACCAAACACGGGGCACCCAAAATCCAGGTTTTTTCTCTCCAGGTCTTAATTTTAAATTTAAGTTCTTGGACACACTTACATTAATTCTGAATATGCCATTACAATCTTCCTAAAATAAGGGGAAAAAGGGGGAGAGGAACATGGTTAGAAAATGAACCCAGAAAATATAAAAGATAGGACACACTTCTTAAATATAATAACAAAGGTCCTTTATCTAACAACAGTGATGTGGACAAAATAATAACAAAGCAAACAGCAACAAACACTTTGGAGATGGGCAAGTGAAAGTTGATGCTGAAAACATTAGCAAGTGGGCAAAGGGTCTGAATAGACATTTCTCCATGGAGGATATACAAATGGCTAATCAGCACATGAAAAGATGCTCAGTATCATTAGCCACCAGGGAAATGCAAATCAAAACCACAATGAGATATTATTTCACGCCCACTAAAAAGGCTTTAATCAAAAAGTCAAATAATGAGCATTGGAGAGGGTGTGGATAAACTGCAGTCCTCATGCTGAAACCCTCATATGCTGCTTGTGACAATGTAGAATTGTGCAGCTACTTTGGGAAACAGTCTGGCAGTTCCTCAAATGACTAAACATAGAGTTGCCATAGACCTGGAAATTCTGCTCCTAGGTATCTACCCAAGAGAAATGAAAATACATGTCTGCAGAGAAACTTGTACATGAATATTTACATCAATATTATTCATAATAGTCAAAAGGTGGAAACAACCCAAATGTTCATCATTGAACAAACAGATGAACAAAATGTGGTATATCCATACCATGAAATAGTATTCAGCCATAAAAAAGGAATGAACTACCGATACATGCTACAACACAGATGACCCTCGAAAATATTGTACTAAGTGAAAAAAGCCAGTGACAAAAGACCACATATTATATGATTTTATTCATATGAAAGTCCAGAACAGGAAGCTCGATAGACACAAAAAATAGATTGGTGGTTGTTAAGGGCAGAAGGAGTGTGGTGAGGGGAATAAAGGGATATGGGGTAACAGAAGATACAGGATTTCTTTTGGAGGTGATGTAAATGTCCTAAGAGTGGCTGTTGTGATGGTTACACAGCTCTGCGATTACGCTAAAAACCACTGGATTGTACACTTGAAACAGGTAAACTGTATGCACGTGAATTATATCTCAATAAAATTGTTAAAAATATTTTAAAAAATGAAACATCAGTAAGAAGTTTTTGACTCATTTTCTTTCTATTCTACCTATGGCTATCTTTGCTTCTTTGGGTATGATTTTGAGCCTAAACCTCTTTTCTGGGTTTTAGATATATATGGTAAAATTCTTGATCACCACTTGAATATTTCCAATAGAACTTCAATTTTAACATATTTAAAGTCCCCTTTGACCTTAAAATATGTTTCCTCCTGGCTCCCCTTTCCTGTCCCTGGACCAGCATCCTGTCATCTCGGCTTCCCCCATCCCTCACAGTCCATGTCTCCATTTTTATTTCAACTGGTTTAGTTCATGACAATGTTACTTCCTTCTGGACTGCCAATAAAATTCTTTTAAATAAAAACCTTTTTACAGATATCATATATATCTAATTTATAAAGCACGGATAAATGAAAGACAGGAAACTTACCTATCATTACCCAGAGACAAACACAATTAACATTTTGGTGTATATCCTTCCAGTTTTTATTCCTATGCATATATTAAATTGTAAAGTTTTTATCCTTTCATAGCCTACTTTTACATAGACTGCACGTATCTTTTCATAGCCATGCCTATTCATCTGCAACCTTATTTTAAATGGCCGCGTTGTGGTTTATCATATAGATGTATGTAAACATGATGTATTTGGCCTGACTGCCTCTTCCCATTGTCTTTCTGAGCCCACCTGAGCCCATCTTTGACCATGTGAGGCAACGTGGTGTCCTGGTTGCAAGACTATGGGCCAGGCTGTCTGGACATGAATCCTCGCTTCTCCGCTTATCAGGTGGGTGACCTCAGTCAAGTTACGCAACCTTTCTGCACCTGTTTTCCTCATCACTAGAATGTGAGCAACAATCACAGTAACAGGAACAGTGCCTTGTAGTTTTTGAGCACTAAGAAGTGATTCCTCTTCTCACAAAGCTTTAATGGCTTCTCATTTCTCATCAAAAAAATTCCAAACCCATTAGTGTGGCATTTCAGGCACTTGAGGATCTCTTCCTAAGTTAACATTTCTGGCCTTGTTTTTCCATTCTTTTTTACCTGAGAGGGGAGTGAAGTGTAACACTGACTACTGGAGATTGGTCTAGGCGCTTTACATAAGTGAGCTAATCTAGTCCTCATAATATCGCTGCGTGAGAAGTGTTGTGGACGAGGGAATAGGTTCAGAGGGACTGAGTGACCAGGGCAAGCCACACACCCACTAAAGTAGCATTCTAGTCTCAGAAGCCCTGATCCCAGGGCCCAAGTTCTTCCTCCCTGTTTTGTCCCTGACTCTTCTTTGCATGCTGTGAGGCTTTCTTCGTACTGCTTCCTCTGCTTGGGAGGTCCTTTCCTTCTCATCTCAAAGCCCCCCGCCTCCCTAAAGCCTTCCCAGCACAGTACCCCTAGTAGGAAGCACGATTTCCCATAAGGAAATCAGATTGCACATTATTTCCGCTTCTCATACGCTCTTTTAACTGCTGACTTTGCATTACGGTTGCTTGAACATAAAACACACATTCTGATTGGACAGAAAATGCTGCAAAACAGGGGCAGTGACCTGCTCATTTTTCTAGTCTTCATTTCATTTCACTTCACCTGACACGGTGTCTTGGACATAACTGATATTTAATAACTAGTTGTTAAAAGGTATCGTCAGAGTTTGCGGGGCTTTGGTGACTAAATTCTGAACTCCATTTCCCTGTCTGTATTGATCTCAGGACATCTACTGTCAAGTTTTTAAAAAGTAGCAGAAGAAGGAAGTGCTCAGGCAAATACCACGGAAATAACATGTTCTCCCAACCAGAAAACGTGACTCCAACAACTCAAGCTTTGTTGCCTTTAAACGTGAGCTGTGTGATCCAAACGCTGGTGTATCTAGTTTCCCTTTCCCCTTGGATTAATCTGTTCTTTCAGAGAGATGGACAGAAGCTGTGAGACAGAACCGATGTCCCCTTTGATCACAGGGCATTCTTGGCCTTGGCCTCTTATATCAGGATTAGAAAAGATGTAAAGACACAGACCACGTCTCACTATGTCAATTTCTTTTTAATTACTCTGCTTGGTGCAGATGTTCTCTATCCTAAGCCTTCTCAGGCTCTCCTTCTTAGCATGCTACAGACCTTGTCACATCTGTATGTCTGCCCGTCTACTGGGTACTCTCCATCTCCCATATGACTCGTCAATCTTCAGCTGGGGCTGGGGCTGAGTAGATAGTGTGCAATCTCCATGCTCTTAGGCCATTATTAATACACTGACTCATCCAGGATTCCTAGCAGGATTCATCTTGAAATGTTGTTATTATCTTCCTGTCCTCTATTCAGTGTGGATCTAAAATAACTCTTCCTTCCGTACACAAGCTTGTGGACTAATTGCATCAGCTCTTTATTACTTCCTTCATTAGCTAATTTGGTACATCGTGACCTTCATACCGTGTTCCTTGTCATGTCTTCTCAGGTTTATCAAAGTTCCTGGAATGTCTCTCCCAGTCTGGCACTACCTAAAGACCTCATCATTAGTATAATTTATAATGTCTTTTGACTGGACAAAGTTGTTATCTGTATTTTTTTAAATTTAATTTTAATTAAAAAAATTTTTTTGGCCACCAGTCGGTATGGGGATCTGAACCCTTGACCTTGGTGTCATAACACCACATTCTAATCAACTGAGCTAACCAGCCAGCCAATTTTTATAAGTTTTAAAATATAAAACATATATTAGATAGCCATATTTGCTAGAAATATGTAATGCTGTAGTTAGGCTCTATTAGGTCTTTTGGAGACACACATTTTAATGGAATTAAGGCATTATTTTATTTGACTGGAAGAGACAATAGTGCTGCTAGTTTACACATCAGCAGTTCTTGGTTTACTTCATTGTTCTATTTGTAGTATGCAGAAGAATCCGAAGAGAATGGGACACTGAATAATGTAGCAGAGGTTAGCTAATTATTAACCAAAGTATATCCCTTTTTTATCCAGAAGACACCCCTAAACCACATTTCCCTGCCCCCCTTCTGGTACAGCGAGCCTGTGCTCTTTCCAGTGGAGTGCAGGTTGAGATGACGTGTGTCACTTCTAGGCCTAGCCCACAACCCTCGCAGATGGAGACAGTTCAAAGGGAAAAGACTCTGAAGACACGGCAAAGAACAGAGACACGAGACAGAGGGACTTAGGTCCCTGAGTGGTCACTGACAGGAGAGCTGTCCAGCTTCTCTAAGACACAAAATATACATTCTGTTACGTTAAGCTACTGAAATATTGGGGTTGTTGCAGCATCTACCCTCCTCTTACTAACACTGACTGCAGAATGACAGATGCTTGTAGTGAAAGTATTCAAGTTTGGGTCTTTTAGGGCTCCTTGCTGGTTGTCACAAAGGAGAAGATTCTGGGCAGCTAGGAGCTAATGGGAAGGCACTGGCCTGCCAACGTGGAGAATGCTGAGAGTGGAGAATAGAAAAGGGGTGTGAGAGTCAAGCTTTGCCTCTTCTACATTTTTCCATGGGGCTGCTTGATGATTTGGATGCTATGTGACAACAGAGGTGGGATCAGGTTAGGGAAGACCGAAAGGGAAACTTTCCGAGGCTCAGAGCTATGCACGTCTAGAATCTTGGGTGACTGTGCCCAAGAAGTCAACAGCGGATTGGCACCGACACAGGAGGTAAGAGTAGAATTCTCTGAGATGTGCATTCAATCTTGTAAACCTTTGCTAGCCAGACAGGACTTATTACACGCTTTAAGCAAAAAGGAGTTGATGGCAAGAGAATTCTGAGTTTAATCAGGGGGTTTTTAAAATAGCTTTGGCAGCCACAGGCAGCCAAGGGATGGCAAACTATCTTAATGTTTATTTCAAAGGACGGAAAGGAGCGTCTTACCCTTCTAATAATGTTGGGATCATTGCACTTTGCCAGTTTTCCAGCAAAAAGCTGAACACCAAAGCTTGCAAAGACAAGCATTAATGTCAGCAAAAGAATGGAGACCTGAAAGAAATTGATGAAATATTAAATCTCTTGGTTAAAAACTAAACATTAGGTTTGGCTTAAACAGTGATATAAACAGGACTTTTTAGATAACAGTGCATAAAATACATGGTTTTTCGATGACACCTTTCAACTTCTCCACCATAGGTCATTCAATTAGCCTTACTGGAAGGTCAGAAGGAGGAAATTAACAACAGGCTTTGAATTTTAAAAGTAGAAACATGGCTTTCATGTAAGAAATGGGATAAGGTATTTTTGATATTATTCATACTTTTCTGATTTTAAAATCAACGCTTTGCTCTATTTTATTTAATGGAACAAAGAAAAAATGTTTAAATAATTATATTTTGCCAGTTTTCTCAAAATGGATTCATATATTTATGATCAGAGCATAAATTAGAGAGGCTTTGCTGTCCTGTGAGCATGAGGGTGTGTATAGGTGAATATGCTGTGCACAGAGGACATGAGGTAAGTCAGTCCTGAAAAGCAAATCTGTTAATTAACTTCAGCTCCCTCTGCTGGCTGACTGTTTTGGTCTTGGCAGAGAAAAGTGGCAAATGATAAAATACCAAGTAAGTCATTGAATTGTACTGGTTGAATAATCTAAATATATACTTTAAGTATACTAAAATTACACAGAAACATCATCAGGAGATTCTTCTAAAAATCAGTCAGTGGTCAAAAGATTCATATACATTAGCTGTTCAGGTGATATTCTGTTTTCCTTCAATTCCAGCTGTGGGAAAAGCCACAGTTTTATGGCTTTGTGCAAAGAAAGTAAGGACTTTTAAACACATCTTTAAAAGAAATATATTAGCAACTATATATCTCTAGTAACATCACAATCTATTTTTTAAAATACCTTCATATTAACTACAAGTACAGCTGTTCTCTCACCATAGGTATGTTTCTAAAAAGCAAGATACAAAACAAGCCTATGTAAATTAATTCATGTTTTTCATGCATAAGCAGAACTTATCAACAGTAAAAAGAATCCTTTGATCCTTCTCTTGTAAAGCAAAGATCCTTCTGTAACAGATTGAGAGCAATGAGTGTCTTTCTCATTTTATCTCCAGCCCTGTGCTTAGAAGACCCTAAATCAATGTTCGCCCAACTACAAAGAAAGTTTCCCCTCTCAATCACATTTTAAGTATTCATTGCTGTATATTGGGGTTACTTAAAATAGGATATACCTGTATGTTACATTTTTTAAGCTGTTTTATGTTAATACTCCCAAGGTCAACAGACAGATTCTGTGCTACATGCTTTAGGGGACACATGAAATGAGATTATGAGCCCAAATGCATTAATTCCTAATCCCATTTGTGAAGTAGATGGGCTTGAATCTTCTTATCCTTAACTTCCAGATGGGAAAACCAAAACCCAGAGTAGAAATTAGGGCCAAGAGTTAGGAATGAAAGAGTCAAGAGATACTACCTCTAGGGATTCTCTGTTCATTGTACTTTCTAGAGTGCTTCTCTCTGGTTTACTAAAAATGTTCATTGAATTAAATAAGTTGATAAGCCAGAAGCATCCATGGGTAGAATTTTTGAATGTGCATTGTGTTTTGCTAGTGTGTTTATAACCTCTGGCAATAAACAAAACTATAGACTTGACCTTGATAAAGAAGACTCACTTTATCCCTCATTAGCTACATTACAGAGCTGGACTATGGTGGTCTGGAAGCAAAGAGTAATTCTAACATACCAAAAAAATTTCCTTGAAGCCACTGAAAAGTTCTCGAACAACTTTCCTCATCTGGGGCACCAGTTTGAATATCCGCAGAGGTCTCAGGCACCGAAGAACCATCAAGAGCTGTGCTCCTGATTCAGCGGGCACATTTTGAGGCATCCAACAAAGAAATATCAAGCTCACCTAGAGGGAAAAAATAATCTCTGGAATTTATACAGTTTATCCTCCACTATCTACATTTTCTAAGAACCAACCGGCCACAACTTTTCACTGAGCAGAGATTCCAAGTGTTAAGTGGGACAAGCACTCACCAGTTGTGTACACAGTCTGTTAGTTTTAAACAAGTGAACCTAATCTACACGTGTTAGAGGCCTCTGCGGAAAGTCCTCACATGTATGTAGGAATGAAAAGGGGGTGCCCAGGCTGTGTCTGTGTGTACCCCAGTGCATTCTGCTCCTTCTTTTAACTTACTGCAGTGGAGGCTCTGCTGATGTCAATATGATTGGAATTCTTTCCATCAAGGTTACCACTACTTTATTAATGATTGCAACATGCTATGTGCTAATGATCACAATTCTCCTTGCTGTGTCTGCAAAGACATTGTTCCCATGCCTTCTAGGACATATACAAAAATAAAATTTTAGTTTGACCTTAACAATAAGAGGCTCATTAACCAATAACATGGTTTATTGGATGCAAACATTATTTTAATATAAGAGCCACAAGAATTGTGGGATACAAACTAGATGTGCTATTAACATCCTTATTAATGTATTAATGTCCTTATTCATGTATGTGCCATTCATTCATAAATTGTAGTTGATGGATTTGAATAATATAACTATCCATGGATATTTATAATGCTTTTTATTTAGATTTTACATGTATACCTCTTCTTTTCTTCTTTCTGAGTTTTTGCCAGAAATCAGTTATGGCATCTAAACCTCTGAGAGTCACACATCTCACTCCTGTACCAAGAATTGCGGGAGACTTTACAAAACCATTACATTTTACATTTAGGAAATAACCAAAGACTTACGAGATATATGAATATGTCCATTACTCCACCAAAGTCCCTGATGACAGCAGTTGGAGTGAAAAATAAGCCATCTGCCATAATCTTCAGATTAAGCTCAATGCTCATGAATATCACAAACACATACTCAGCAATCTGAAATGGGCAAAAGACAGTCTGGTCACAATGAACAGAACAATTGTGGTCAGGGTTTTGCCTCCTGGCTGTGAGCTGAGATTTGGCAGCAGTACCTGCAAAGTAGGTGCGTGCATGACTCTTCGAAAGGGCGATTCGAACATCATGGAAATGCAAGAGCAGATGGTTACGATGATCATGACCCAGTCCAGGTAAGTGACCAATCCCAGCAAATCACTGCCAAAGACCAAACAAAACTGAGAAACGCAAACACTCTAGGAAAGGCTGCTAAGAGTAAGAGATGATGAGTTCTGTGACTCTATTAACATGACTGGTAATTTTGAAAAAATAAATCCCCAATCATCTATTTCATAGCATTATATAAAAAGAAAATAAAACAGAGCTTTTATATTTTTATGCAGCATAAAATAGTACATGAAAATTTCAAATATACATGGAAAGCAAAGTTCGTAATGCTTACTAAAGTTGATGGTACTTTGTATTTTTCACCGCTCCTGTGACAGGGTCTGTTTTAGAGCTGTAAGGGAGAACAAACATATGAAATTCTGCAACATAGCAAGCATGTTATAACTTGGCAGTACAGTATTTACAAATGTCTCATCCACGTGAAATCTCTTACATCCTCTATAAAATGTCCATTATAAAATATGTTAAGTGTATGTAACTTTGGGAGGTTGAGTATATTAGGTGAAGGAAAAATCCAAAGAATTTGCAGTTGATGCTTATGAAAGTAAAGTTTTATATTTTTCACATTACTTGATTTTAGAATTCATGACTCCATTCAAAAATTTCTGACAGGGATATTACAAAATTAAAATTTGACTTTCATTGAAAGACACTCATTTAAAATCTTTGCCTTAGTAGTCTAAGGATGTTCTTTAAAATTATTTAATAAATATTCCTTACTTATATAGAGTTCTTTGCCCTGCATTTAACTGTGTTCTTGTGGAATAATTCACACAGAATCTCTTGGAAGAGGGATTTATAATTTTTACTTTTGGGAAGCCCATGAACAGTCATCAGTGAGCCACTGACAGTGTGTGTGTGTGTTTTCCCAGTTACGACAAAGTCTTCATCAGTCGTAGACAGCATTAGCTGCATTACTGGCAAAAGGAGAATTACACCACGCCAAGTGAAGTGGGAGTTAGCAATTAGATATTAACATGTAGGCAGCCAGTGGGATAATTCAAGACGAAAAACCCACTTTGGGAACACATCAAATTAACTTCTAAACTGCCATCTTCTCCCTTTACTTTGTGAAAACTCAGGGAAGTTGTTAACGACTATTACTCAGGTGCTTTAAATTGTGAAGTTCTTTCTAGAACAGCAGAAGGAAAAACAGACTGGCAATCATGAGACAGCCACACACCAGCTGGGTCCTTGAGCAAAGCCCTCAACCTCCACAGACTACACGTCCTCCTCTGCTGAAGGAGGGGTATGCAAATGATACCAGTGACCCCTGAGGTCTCTTCCAGCCCTGAAATGCTGTGAGAGTGTGTATTAGTTTCCTAGAGCTGCTGTAACAAATCACCCCAGACTGGGTGGCTTAAGCAACAGAAATTTATTTCCTCATGCTCTGGAGTCTGGGAAGTCCAAGATCAAGCTGTCAGCAGGGTTGGTTCCTTTGGAGAGCTATCAGGGATCTGTTCCAGGCCTCTTCCCTTGACTTGTAGATGTCTGTCTTGATCTCACATGTTTTCACAGAGTCTTCTTTCTATTTGTGTCTGTCTGCAAATTTCCTCTTCTTATAAGGAAACCAGTTATATTAAATTAGGGCCCACCTACTATATCCATTGTAATTTATTTGTCTCTTTAAAGTTCTTATCTCCAAATACAGTCACATTCTGAGTTACTGAGGGTTAGGGCTTAACATATGCATTTTTTTGGGAGAACACAATTCAGCTCACAACAGATAATGATTATCACATGCTCCTGATGATCAGCAAAGGAGATCAACTCATTTAAATGATGGCATCAGGGAAGGCCCAATGACATAACGGAAACATGTAACATTTTCATACTTCCTCTGGAATTCTTAATGTCTTCAGGATATTTACTTAAAGTTATGCTTGATAAAAATCATTTCATCCATTGGTCACCTGTGAAACTTGGCTTAGGTCTCCACAAATACAGTATCCTCAAGGTTTACCTTACTGGGAACTTCTTATGCATTTCTTCCACATTGGTGGTGTAGAGACAGTGGCCAGGGTCTTTGCTTTGCAGAACAGTTGGTAATGGAAACACTAGTCGACTTTCCTTCTATTTACATTATTCTAGAATAAGCCAATTGTGGTATTTTGACCACAAAGAAACTACAAGTCTGATAGAAGACCACGACCTGCACCATGTCATGTTGTCTCTGTTTGTTTCAGTATTTCCAAAATAAAATATGGAGTTACTAACACTGATGCAAATGTATTAGGCAACCATTAAGTGGCACAAATAGAAGTGACTGCTCAGTGCTTTATCAGTGGGGCTTTCTATAAATGTTAACTACTTGCAACCTTTGTTTTCCACGTTGGCTGGTGCTCAGCAAAGAGCAGCAGCATGATTAATTAGCCCACAGGTTATTCTGTGACCCCATTAGGATTACAAGTTCCTTCTTCCTCATATGACAACACCCCCTGCTGTCTGCATGACTCAGGCCAAACGCCTGGCTGAAATGAAGTGCACTTACACGTTGAAGCGTGCTCGGACCACCACCCGGCAAAAGTTTCTGAACCTGTGCTCCCGCCCGACTATGAACAGAGGCTTATCGAAGTACGGGTGGTTCTCTCTCAGCTCTTCTTCTTGCACTTTCCTTGAAAGGGAAACGTACAGGAGAGTAAGGCTGTGGGAAAGTGTGTCATCCCAGAAGGAGAACCACAGAATGCAGTAACCCCTATACCTTTTCATTTCTGCTTGCTCCTTTTTCTCCTGAATCATCTTTATTTCACTGTCTTCTCTTTGTGCATTTCTATACCTCACTGTATTGGAATGCTAGAAAGGAATGAAAAGGGGGCAGTTAAAATGGGAGATTTTTTTCCCTGAAGGCCAAAAAATATCATTTTTAAAAAAATAGAAATCAATATTTTTATTATGTATAGTTTAATGGCCATAGTCATCTTAGCAAGGATAGTTTTTCCTCTGAAATTAATTCATTCAGCACATATTTATTGAAATCCTAATCTGTGCCAGGAACTATTCTAGTGCTGAGGATATGGCAAGAGGGAAAGCAAACCCCCAAATCCCTGTTCTTGTGGAGCTGATGTTCTAGTCAGGGGGAGACAGATACAAAAATAAATCAAAATAAGTAAATATGTTAGAGGATGTTAGTGTTCTGATAAATAAAGTAGGTGAGAGGTACAGAGAATGCTAGAAGACCATGATTTTAAATAGAGACGGCAGGGTAGACCTCGATAGGAAGGTGCTATTTGAGCAAAGACCAGCAGGAAGTGAAAGTGCAGGCCACCATACAGCAGCAGAAACGTGTTCTTCCAGAGCTGAGAGTAGCTAGGGTGCCAGTGTGGGTGGAACCAAGAGAGCAAGGACCAGAGTAGGAAAGAGCAGTGAGAGGCTGGAGAGCAGGTCATGCGGGGCCCCAATGGTCATTATATGGATACCGTGGGAGGCGGACAGCCAATGTGCAAAGAACTCGATAGACTTATAGGAAGCATTACTTGGATTTAAGATTCTGCATCCTCTATCATTTGGAATAAGTGGAAACATTTCAATTCTCTAATTTAAATGTCTCCCTGATGGGAGAAAAGACATCATAAGAATTTCTTATGAAATGATTAGAATCCCATGATATTTTGCTATGGAGAAGACAGGGGTTGGATTTTGTTATAAGTCTCTAAGAAAAATATAAGTCTTTGAAGAAGAAGTAAGACTCTTGAATTGAGACTGTTCGAATGGGGCCTTTGTTGTGTATATTGAAACACATATTTTCAAAGCTGTGTTTCAATTTGATTCTTAAGTAGGCTGTGCATTTCTATTGCATCACATGGAAGGAAAGCACTTTGAAGTGGGCCTCTTTGAATTTTCACCCAGAAATTTTCTCCATGCAGTATACCAGACTCTGAAATTATAAGTGCACAGGCTGTGTGTTGAATCTGATCACAAATCAATGTGAGCAATACAGTAGCCAATCAGGTGGAGCTCTGGATATGAAAGATCATGGCGGTAACAGAGCCCTGCACCAATTCGGACCACGTCTATCCGGTCATGGTGATATCAGGCGTTCCCATCACCAACTTCTTCTAGTTCTCAATTTTGCCTGGAACACGATAAGGACAGTCTACTTGGACTAAAATGGCAGTTTCTGCAGATTGAAAGCAGAGGTAGTATGCAGGACACTCCAGAAACTCTTAAGAAATAAGAGATATGTGGTGAAGAAGACAAAAACAAAAAACCAGAAACCCCATGGCTTTGCTGACTTTCTCTCGGGAGGCCTCCTTTCTCAAGGGCTGTCCTTGGCTCTGAACATTCAACACTTGCTTTCTTAGCCAAGGTATCCAGATTTAACCCAAGGCCTACATTTTAATCAAGGGCTTCACGAATATAGTTATTTACCATGCACGTTTCCAGCTCTTTCATGGTAATCTTAGCATGGTAGAGCTGCCGCTTAGTGTGGCCCATGGCTTCTCTGGACTTTCCTGCATCTCACTCTTTCACTTCATTTGGGTCACTGGGCTAATAATGCAGAGGGGTCTACACTAACCATCATATCTAAAATTCCTTGCCCTCATATTTCCACCTTTGATTTTTTTACTACTTTATTTTATAATACAAAGCAAACTTGTCACTATGAAGAGATGGTGGAAAATAAGAAGAAATCACTTCCCGAAATTCCATTACACGTTTATGTCCTTACTGTCTGTCTCCTGTACTAGAACGTAAGCTCCAGGAGAGCAGTGAGTCTATCTTATTTCTCCTCTACTCCCCATCACTTAGAACGGGACCTGGCATGTAATAAACACTTGATGAATATTTATTGACTCAGTAAATAAATACATGAATGACCTAGAGTCTAAAAACAAAGAAACTCATGAAAATACTACGTAGACTTTGACAGAAAAGTTCTTCTAGAAATAAAATTTCACTTTCTAGTGTGTAAAGCCCTGATATCATAGACCCTGGATCTATATTCTAGAATATTTGGGACTTAGTAAATACTCAAAATTAATAATGCAGATAAGTACTATAAAAAGCTTTAAAAGTCTTTAATTTCAATCAGATGCAACTAATATGTTCCTTTTGTGTTACTACTTTAACTAAGACATGTGCTTTGTGTAGGATGTCTGGATTTTTCCACAGTTAACAGTTACTTTTCAGTATCTGGTCACAAAATTTGTTTCCTGAGTTTCCTCATTCCCTCTGGTATAAAGTCTTAAGCAGACATGGCATTATGACAGAAAGACCCAGGCATCTGAATTACCTAAGCAGTCATTTAAATATATTTTCATAATCATGTTTCCCAAATCCAAAGCATCGCTTAGAACTTACATCTTGAGTCAAAGTTTCAAGAGATTTTCCCCTGCTGATCCTCTGGCTGTTTGATCCATGTCTTAGTGACCTAAAAGAATCATAGCCAACTGGTCAATACATCTGAAGATCAAATTTTGACTTTTAAGCAATGACCATAATAAAAACAAAATAAAATAATTTTTCTGCTGTGTCACAAATGCATATCATTTCTTTTTATAGCAAAAGCTTATATACGTCTTAGATTTCATCTAACAAAATTCAGAATTTTAACTTCTGATCTTAAAAGTGAGAATTTGGCCATCACTAAGGAAAAGGTTTTTAAGTAAAAATTTTTTGAATCTTAGAATCAGATTGTGAGTTTCATTATTGTTACTAACAGCAGATAGAACTCAGACCCTCACCCGTGCCTGAGGGCTAGCCAGGGCTGACGGCGTTGGCTGTGTTCAGTGCTCACTTCCTGTAAAGCGCCTTTGCCTAGTGCCTCTGAAGCCCTGTCTTCTCAGAGTACTCACCTGCGCTCTTGGCGGATATGGTGCTGCACGCTGAGGATTGACCTTTCCTTTGCAGGTTGCCCCTCAAATGATCCACTCAGCATGCGCTGTCGAGTGCAAGCTCTAGGAAAAAAAAAAAAAAAAAAAAAAAAAAGAGCCCTAGAAAGATGCATGGTTTATACACTTGGGGTGAATAACACATAACTGCTCCTTACTCTTATTACAGGAAACACCAACGATAATGCAAAATACAGCAAACAACATGTAACTATAAAGGAAAATGGACTCTAGGCTCTGTCTCAAGAACACTTCAAAGCGGAAGTGTCACAGCAATGAAGAAGTGCTGGAAAATAAACAGGAAGGTCCCCTTCTGCCCCTCTTCCTCCTGCCCCCAACCCTGAAAAAATGGTAGATATTCTATCAGGATTCTTCAGGCAGTGAGGCCAACCTACCCACAGGCAATCAGGATGTTGGTTTTGAATTTAAACAAGGAGATGTCTAATAAAAGCCTGTAAGGAAGGATTTGTCCACCCAGGCCTCTAGAATGATAAAATATATGTTCCAAGGAGATTTTGCAGAACTTTAGGAAAAATAAGAAAGCATCAGGTTAGAGGCAAAAATGAGTCATGAAGAGAGGAAACTAATGCTGGAATTCTGCATGTCGATGCAAGTGTACTTAACACTACAGAACTGCACACTTACAAATGGTTAGGATGGTAAATTTTACGTTATGTGTTTTTTATCACAATTTTTAAAAAGCTAGAATTATTACCTAGAGAAATCTCAGTCTAAAGCTTGTGGCTTACTGGTAACCAGTTATGACATTCTTTGTATTCTCAAAACCACGGAGACTTTTAAAAACACGTTCTCTTAAGACCAACATAACCGGGCTTGTGTTAATTTCACATTTGTTAATGAGTGAGGAAAATCGGGTGACCCAACACCTGTGGTGTGAATGATTTTGGTGAGAAAACAAAATTTCTTCTCCAAAAAGCTTTCTCCAACTGGCAATGACGGGAATCCCCTCGAGGTGTCAGTCACGTGGGAAGAAAACACAGAGGGGTTAAAAACCTGTGCCCCCTCTGTCTCCACACTGTCATTCACCAGGGGGATGACCTTCGGGCTCAGTATCCTTACTGGTAAAATGAGAAGAACTCAGTCTGGAAGATACCTCAGAGACTTAAAATGCACTGATTTTTATGATATCCAAATCTTTTTTTTTTTTTCCTTTTTTTTGTCTTTTTTTCGTGACCGGCAACGGATTGCAACCCTCAGTGTCGCGCCCGTACCGGACCGGGACCGGCAACGGGATCGCAACCCTCAGTGTTGCGTCCGCACCTCGCTCAGCCAGTGAGTGGCCGGTTTGTATGTGGGATCCGAACCCTCGGCGGGAGCGCTGCCGCGCTCCCAAGCGGCACACTGTAGCAGTGCGCCACCAGGCCGGCCCATGATATCCAAATCTTATGACTATATTTGTTCAACACCTTAACCCATGCCCTTCTGCCACTGCTCCACATAACACGTATTAGTTTCTTAAAATGCATTTCTAGAACAGTTTTGAGTTACATTATTACTGTGTCTCAGACTTAAGGTCTTCAAGAAACAGATTATCTCCCTAACATAAAAGAGTAGCTCTTAAGGTTCATGCACATATTTACGTACTTAAAATGCTTTTGATATGAATGAAGATAATTATGATGACTATCTATGAAAAACCATATAAATTCAATGCATAACTGGACATAAAACCCAAATAAACACTATTCTTAGTTTAATAAGCAGCGTGAACCTCTTAGAGATAAAATCCAAGTCAAAATTTTACTGAACAATGAGGATTTATGACAGTAATAGAAGAGATTGTGCTTATTCGTAGGAAGGGAATGATGTTCCATTGCAAGATTCACTGTAAGTCAGGCTGAAATGATAAAGATAAAGCAAGATCTTATATTACTTATATGTACGATCTTTGTGATTCACATGTGTGTCTCTGTTCTCTGCATGATTCACTCATTTGGGGTGGGGGAACTCGTTTTTAGCTCTAGGCTGCAATTAGAAAACCTGTGCTTAACCAAACTAAGACAGCCACTTAAATGTGTTATGATATGTACAAACATTTGCTTTAACTTCCTTTTCCTTTTCCTTTTCTTCTGTGTTTACACTACTATTTGCTAGAGCAATTTCAAACTGTATAATGGTGAAGAAAAGAATAAAATGCTCAGCAACTCTGGACCTTCTCATCAACCACCGATCAAGAGTTCTCAGTGAGCCAAACGTAAACCTCAGTGGTCTGTTTCCTCATTGAGAGGAACCTGCCAGAGTCTTCCTGTTCCCTGAGCAGGGGTTGCTCACCAGCTCCCCCTTACCAGGGGGCTCCAAAGGCACCCATGTCATCTGAGCACAGTGACACAGGGACATGGGGCCATCCTCATCTTGGCGTGAAGAGGTCACCTTGGGCACCTCAGGCTCGGTGTGCGGTCTCTCCACGCTGATCTCCTGGGGGCCCTGCTTGGCACTCTGTCTCCCCACCTGGCGCCAAAGGTAAACAGGCTCTGTCTTCATTTATCAGTCTCTTGCTGAGGCTGTTCTTGGACCAAAAGCTCCAATATCTCATTTTTTCTGAGTATGCCCATGGCTTTTGAACTAAGAAACTCCATGATAAATGCTAGGATTCCTTAGCGGAAAACTAAGGGTTATACTAGTTTATCAAGTTGCTAAATAAATATTTGAGTGAAGGTAGGTGGGGGTGGGGAGCATGTGAAAGAAGTTCATTTGAAGGCTCCTGAGGGCTCCTTCTCTCCTCTAAGTACAGTGGTAGGAATTCTCTTCTAGGCACTAGATCCATTGTAGTTAATAACCAGCCTACTTATCTACAAAAATTTTCCACAAAAAAACAGGTGATGATACAAATGAAACAACTTTTCTACAGATACATAAATTCACCTAAAGAAAACGTGGAAAAACCTAACTAGATTATGAAAGGAGACCAGCGGCCAGACATGGGTACTAGGTGGATGAGGGAAGGACCTCAGATGGAAGGATAGAAATCTGGGATGGAGGGGTGTAGGAACAGGGAAACACGAGGGAAGCTTTGTAATACTTTGTCCCTGAGGACACCTGGACATCAAAGCAGATATAGAAAGAATGCCACATCAGGATGTTTCTGCACAACACAGCCTCATACCTAAGCCATTGTCACGTTTTTTTGGTCATGTAAAATATTTTGCTATTTTAGAAAATAATAGCATTGGTAGAAAGTTATTAACTTCAATTGGACATGGTCAGATTTGCTAAAAGTTTACATACACTCTAATACAATGTGCCAAGGTTCATAAAAAAGCACGCTAAAGTTTGCTTTATTACTTTTTAAAGTAAATGCAATTTTATTATATACAAGCACATATTATGTAATGACCCAAATGATGAACTGACAAATAGTGTTTTAATATGCACAATGTAGTTACAAACTTTGATGTAAATGGGTTCTGATAAGTAACAAAGTGAGACATGAATATTTCACCTGTATGAAAACACGGAAAATTGATTTGTTTCATATTCCATGTTCCTGTAGCATGTAATTAACCAAAGCTGTTTAATGCTTATGGCATTTTGTCATCTTTAGGTATTCCCCTTACTAGACTGTTCATTCTTTAGGGACGGCTTTATCACTCATCCTCACATTCCTAGGAAGTTCAGTTCCTGGCCCTCCAACGGGCTGATGGACAGAATGAACAGGTGAAAAGGTGGATGTGGGCGTATAAGGAGAGAGAGGAAGGTGTGGGGACTGTGTGGGCTGGAACTTGCCAGTCTCATGGTTCAAAGAAGCGCAATAGGTTTGCAGTTTCACACCCAGCAGTGTAGCTGCTAATAGGAAGTCCTGCCTTTGTCTGCAAGCCTACTGGACAAGACGAGTTGAGAAAATGCAAGGTTGAGAAGCACACGTTTCTGACTTCAGCTGTTACCAGCTGTGGGATCTTACGCGAGCCATGTGCATTCTCTGAACATCTGTTTCCCACATGTAAAATGTGGAGAACAAAAATGTCTTTCCTACAACCTTCATAGGGAATTGGAAAAAGCAAGGATGATTATGAATGTGAACATGCTTTGGAAACCGTGACACTTTATTTAAAATTTAGGTGCTATTATTTCCTTTTCTTTCTTGTCTCATGTCATGGGTGACGTTAAAACATTCTACAGAGGGCTGAGGACCGAGTAGCAAGTTTGATGGAGGGTCATATCGTCAAGTCTTTTCTGCTCCGACTGTAATCACTAGTGATGTCCACTACAGTCTGATGCTGCAGCCTCCTTCTTACCTGGTGTCCAGGCATGCATCCACTCTCCATAAATGTGTGATTATCCCCTGCAAGCGTTTTGTGAGATGAACATCCGTGATGGTATTGGGGTGGGCAGGTTTCTGAGACGGCCCCCAGTGATTCCCACCTGGTGGTTTTCACACCCTTGTGTGATCCTCTCCCCTTGGGCATGGGCTGGACTTAGTGACTTGATTTTGAGGAACACAAGGCAAAAGTGAGGGAGGAGTTACAGAGCACTGTGACTTCTGTCTTCCCAGCACTCACTCTTTCTCTGTCTCACATGATGTCGCTCTTTCTTGCTTGCTCTGATGAAGCAAGCTACCGTGTTGTGAGGCGCTCTGTAGAGAAATCCACTTGCTAAGGAATGAGGGCAGCCTCCAGCTATGGGCTCGGAGGAACCAAGGCCTTAATCTAACACCCAAGAGGAGCTGAATCCTACTAATAATCACGTGAGTGATCTAGGAAGGGCATACTTCCCTTTCAAATCCAAATGCATGCAGCTTTGTGGGATTCCTAAAGCTAGAGACCCAGCTAAGCTATGCCCAGATTCCTGACCAAAACTGTGAAATAAAAAATGCATTGTTTAAGTCACTTAAGTTTTGGAGTAATTGGTTATGCAGCAACGATAACTAATGCAGTTACTATTGCTGCCTTAAACCTTTCAATTTTCTATTGCTCTTTGGAAAAAGACTAAGACTAAAGCACAGTATGGCTTGACAAACCCTGTTTGGTCTCCTTCTGACCTTCCTTTCCAGTTCCTCACATGTACCACACTCCAAAGAGCTCTAAGAGAACAATCTCAAATTGTTCACT